TTTTGATTTTCTTTCCACGTTTCCTGATTTTTCTTAGACATTTTTGTATCATAAACTATCTTTGTAAGGAACAGGAAGTGGAAATATGCCTGAAGATGTTTTTTTCCCTGACTGATGGCTTTTATTTTGGTAATAAAAGTTTTGTCTGACCAATAGATTTTTTACTAAAAGCTTGATATGCACTCTGAAACTCACAAGAATATCAAATCAATTCTCAAAGCTTGCATGCGAAGCTTGAGTTTGCACTACTACAGTTTGTTTGGTCTAAATGTTTTTTAATGTTCCAGGAAACATTTTGAGCCTCAGTCGGTTTATTTTTCTACCGTTTTCCACCCCAGAGGAGAAGCCTCCACCTCTCTGATCCTGATAATGACGTTTTATCTTCATGTTTCTTTGGAAAGGGCTGTAATTAAAGTATTTTTTTATTTCATAAAAGGATGCAGAAGCACTTCTGTAAATGTCTAAAGTATAGCAGCGGATATTTGAGTGGTTTTGTCCTCTGATTTGTTTGCAGCATCCAGCGAGCGGCCGTCTGGGTGCTGGACCGGTATTACAACGACTTCTCTGTCTACAACCCTGCTGTGGTCAACCTTCCCAAGTCCATCCTGTCTAAGAAGATGACCGGATTCAAGGTTTACTCCCTGGATGGTGAGAGATTATCACCTCAGCCTGCTTGTGATTCTCCCACACACGACGTTATTCCCCTTTTGTTCTCGCTTTGAGTATAGATGAAAACCTGTCGTGCAAACCTCTAAACCCTCCCTCTGCATGTGTCGTCTTGCAGAAAACACCACCAACAACTCGACAGGCCAATCGCGCGCCATGATCGCAGCGGCAGCCAGGAGGAGGGACAACTCCCACAACGAGTATTACTACGAGGAGGCCGAGATGGAGCGCCGGATCCGCAAACGCAAGGCCAGGTTAGATACCGCAAGCAATGGCGTGAAGCCTGAGAGCAGAACCGCAGTCTGTTCCTGTTCAAAGTAAACGGGCATGTAGTGACGAGAGAGCAATCATGAAGGCTGCTGTGGATATCAAGGCCTTTCCATCATGTAAACTCCGACAATCTGACTTAAGCCTTCATTTAAATGAGTCATGGTCGTCCTGTCCTCACATGTTCTGGTTATTACGGCTGCTGTAAGAATCAGACAGTTTTCCGAGGAAGGCTTTTTTTCTTTCTTTTGGAGAAAAGCTTGATTAATTGGCAGTCTGCCGCCTGGAGAAGCCATGCTAGCTTATGTCCCAACAGTCCAGAATGATGAGTTTATTCTGTTTACTTAGAGCCGAGGCCTTCATTTCAGAGGAACACACAGTTTCAGTTTTGCTTGCCTCAGATGAACTGGTTAACTTGACTATTAGGGTTTCATAACTTCATAAGTCAGTTCTAGTATATTATCTCACTGGAAGGTGTAGAAAGACTAAAAATGCAACTAAATACAAATAATTATACTCAGAAATATAAATGGCTTGATCTGTAGGCATAGTGTCTTCAGAAAATGTTTATAACCCTTGAATTTTTCACACTTTGTCACAAAAAACCTTATATATTGGGTACTTAATTTAATTATATGTATTAGGAGTGGATAATTATTAAGAGGAAGGTTTGCATTCAGCACCCTTTGCTGAAATACCCCTAAATAAACTTTAGTGCATCAAATTTCCTTTGATGCACTAAAGTTATAAGTCAGCTAGTAAGTCATTTAGTTTCAGTGAAAATGAACACCTCAGAGGTTTGTTAGAGAATATTAGTGAACCGCAATCAAGAGAAGCAAGAAACGGATCCACAGTGACTCTAGAAGAGCTGCAGAGATAAAAACAATAAATAAAAATCTGTTTCCTGTCCATGCAACAACTGTAAACATAAAGCCAGAGCTACTGCACAATGTCTTAGGCCTAAATGAAAAGCTCAGGCATAAATCCAGCTGCAGATCTGTGCCAATAATTGATAACTCATGTTAGCAGATGTTCTCCATCCAGTCTGACTGAGTTTCAGCTTTTCTGCAAATAGCAAAGGGAAAAAAAAAACCAATTTCTAGATGTGCAAAGCTGGTAGAAAATCCAAAACATCTGAAGCTCTAATTACAGGATTCTGAAAAAATATGATCTCTGGAGAGCCAGTTACAAGCGCATTTTCCTGATTGTGTATTGATGAAACCCATTAACAAACTGTTAAAATATTACTATCATTCAATAAGTACTTCTTAAAGTAAATAACGCTGAACATCTTTCCACATTGATGAGTCCCTCCAGGATTCTGGGATTGCTTTCATGATTTTCTTCCCAAACAAACTCAGATTCTGTGGTGCTAATTTAATATTTACAAGGAATTTTTTGCAATATTTTTTGCAATATGATAAAGTCATATTTATTAATTTTTTTTAGCCATTTTAATCACAGACTTCAGATAAAATAAGGCTGAGGCAGCAGTGGAGTAGAAGTAAGAAATGCTGCCACCTGCAGGTGGGAGTTAGAAGTCACTTAAATGTTTTTGACTATTTTTGTGGAAATCTGCAATAAACTCACAATTATGCAGGGGCCTGTTGATTTTCACGCGGAATTAAAACAAACAGATTGATGTAATACGACAGTAAACAGATAAAAACTGCTTTGATTTGATTGATACAATAATATAAAAACACACACATGTCCTAAAAAGCTACGATGAACCTTGAGTTTGACACGCGTAATAAACCATTTATCTACAATTAACTGTAATTATTTCTAAGGCTGTCATGATAACAAATTTTGCTGGAAGATAAACTGTCCCAGAAATTATTGCAATAAATAATATGGTTGTTTGGAGGTAATTTTCAAGTAATATAACAGTCATAATAATACAAGAACACAAAGATCAATAAATTGTAATAAACATTTAAGACATTTTAAATATTAAAAATAAAGAAAGAAAAGCAACAGAAAAATAAAAATAAATAAAAAGCTCAACTTGAAACCAAAGCACCAGACTGAATCTAATTTGCCATGTGATTAATTGATTTGTCGTTTAGGCCTAATTGTATCCCATGTTCGGTCGTTGTCATGGTTACCCGTTTAGGCTGGTCGTGGCGGTCGAGGAGGCCTTCACGCACATCAAGCGGCTGCACGAGGACGAGGCAGGGGCGTCTCCCAAGCACCCCCGGGAGGTGATGGACCCCCGGGAGGCGGCGCAGGCCATCTTCGCCCCGATGGCGCGCGCCATGCAGAAGTACCTGAGGACGACGCGGCAGCAGGCCTTCCACAGCATGGAGAGCATCCTCACGCACCTGCAGTTCTGCATCACTCACAACATGACGCCCAAGGTGAGAACAAGGGGTTTCCATAGCGACCAGGTGACTCTGGCCGCTGTGGAAGAGTTTCATTGACTGTTATCGATCGGATTGGCGTCGACGTCTGAGTAGAAAAAAATGCTGCTCCTTCTCTTTCTTTGTGTCTGATTTTCTATTCTTTCTTTATTTCTTGTTTTTCATTCTTATCTTTCCTTCCTTTCTTTTTCTCTTTTTTCCTTCCCTACTTTCTCCCTCTTTCCCTTCTTTACTTCGTTCAATGTATCTTTTATTTCTCCATTCTCTCTCTTTTTCCTTGCTTGATTTTAAATTCTCATGTCTTTATTTTTCCTTTTTCTATCCTCATGTTATTTCTTCTTCCCTTCTGTCTTTCTGTATTCTTCCTATTTTTATTCCTTCCTTATTTTTTCAGGCTTTTCCTTTCATGTGTTCTTTCTTCCTTCCTCTTCTCCTTCATTTTATTTTATTTTTTACTCTTTTCTTCCTTGCCTCCTTGCCTTTTTCCATTCCTTCCTTCTTTTCTTTCATCCCTTTTTTAATTAATCTCTTTGTTATCAATTTTCCCTTCTGTCCTTTTCTCATTTCCCTTCCTCCTTTCATTTCTTCTTCTGTTTCTTTTTTTTTCCTCCTTCATTCTCTCCTTCAATGTTTATTTTTTCCACTCCTTCCTTCTCACCCTCTTTTTTATTTAAATTTTTACTCTTTTCTTCCTTTTTTCATCCTTCCTGCTGAACATTTTTACCATAAATCCACAGTGAATGTTTGTGTTTTATATTTTTATGATGGAAGGTAAATTTCTGTGAAAGGATAAATTTATTAATGTCCAACATTTTCTGTCTCTTTCTGCTTGTCAGGCCTTCCTGGAGCGATACCTCACCCCGGGCCCCACCATGCAGTACCAGCAGCAGAGCGGCAGGGGGCGCCAGTGGACTTTGGTGAGCGAGGAGCCCGTCACCTCGGGCCTACGGCAGGGGCTGGTCTTCTCCCTGCGGCGCCTGGACTTCTCCCTGGTTGTCACGGTAACGCCGCTTCCCTTCCTGCGGCTCGGCGAGGAGTTCATCGACCCAAAGAGCCACAAGTTCGTGATGCGGCTTCAGTCGGAGACGTCGGTGTGAGCGGCGCCGCTCCTCCCATATGTGACACGGACACGCTTCATTATCCAATCAGCAAACAGCCTTCTCTCACGCTCTTCTGTGACAGAAACCAATCAGAAGGAGGAATGCAACTTTTTTTTTTTTTTTTTTTGATCATCAAACTGTGATCGGCTCAATGATTGTTAAAAAAACAAAAACAAACAGAGGCCTTTTCGCCGCCGGTGTTTTCTCTCTGAAAGGTTTATTTCTCTTTAACCACTGAACCACAGAGAAGCAGTGACTCAACACACGCACGCAAGAGGAAGGGGGAGATTATGTCACTTCCTGTCAGTCACGCTGGCGATGTTTTCTCCGAAAGCGCATGGACCTGCTTTTATATGAGAGGGAGTGGCTTTTACTGTTTTAACCTGCAGAATGTAGCATTACGTGCTGTGAGTTGATTGTTTTTATGTAAAGAAGAGCAGATCTACATAATGCAGCTGTTTTAATTATTATTATTTTCCCATGATGCACTGCAAAAACACAAAGTATTACCAAGTATTTTTGGACTAGTTTCCAGTGAAAACATGAAATAAGACAAAACTAACCTACAAGTAACTTTTACGACCTTGTTTTAAGTAATTAATCCTTAAATATTGAAATATTCCACTAGTAGATTATTTCATTTATAAAAAGATATTTTTCCCATGAAATAATCTGCCAGTGGATCTAGTGCTTTTACATCAATATTAAGGAATTATTGACTTAAAACAAGCTCCTATATCTTGTCGAAAAGTTACATCTATGTTATTTTCGTCTTATTTCAGGTGTACTAACATATTTGCACTACAAATTAAACCAAAATACTTGATAATATTTTGTGTTTTTGCAGTGTATAACACTGTCATCCTAATTTTGCAGCTCATTTGGATGCATGAGTCTGGCGGTGGTCCAACAGATCAACTGGAAATACCAAAATCCATTAATCCGCCATACAAAATGTGCTAAACGACTAAAGGCTTTTTGAAGTTGATGACTATTGCTCATAAATATTCCTGGCTGTAGGTGAAACTCACCCAAAATAAACAGAAGCGTCTGACTCAGTGGCATTTTTAATCACATTATTCTAAATGTAAGTAATTTAAATCATTAAATTAACTGTTTTCAGCCTTTATGAGCTCATTTTGGCCAATTTGGCCCTAAATCGAACAAACAGAATCAAAACAGATTGATTTAGAAAGAAATTGACCGAGCTTGTTGGTTTTCCAGCTGATTTTATTATTAAAAATAAGATAAGATGAGCATAAAATCATCAGGATTCCTCTCTGTTGTGCTTAAGCTGTGCAACAATATTTGGCTGCAGATTCCCCGATTCCAATCTGAGTCGCAAAAGAAGAAAAAGTTTGTAATTCAGCAACTAAATGTTTTTTGTTCACGTTAACGGTTTGGTTTAGTGGTCAGTACATGCATGAACCATGAGAGACCTTGATTCTGTGCCTGCAGCTCTCTGACTGTCCTTGCATGGAATATAAAAAGATATTTTTAGCAGAGTTTCTCAGCAGTTCAACTTTGTCACTTATGATGCAGACGTGAATTTAGACTTGAAGGTAAAGGAAATTCTAAATCCGGTGCGTTAATTCTGAGAATTATTCAGAATGAATACATCATGCAGCTTTTCTAAAAGCAGAGGCAATTCATAATTGGACATTTTCACTCATCAAACCATATTTTTAATAATATTTTTAGTGTTCATATGTGATAAAATCAAGCTTTTCTGAAAATGTTGAGTTCTTTTTTAGCATTTTATTAAAGATGGAAGAGTTAAATGGCAGAAAAACTAAATAAAATCCGTGGTTTGAGGAAGACGCAACAACCGTTGAAGCAAAAACGCAAACATTAAGAGTTTGAATTTTATAATTTTAAACGGGTAGCAGTAATTTTGTTTTTTTTACATTTTTAAAATTGTCACTTTTTTACCTGCTTACACTGTAAACTTCTCATAATGGAGCCGGTTACAGGAGTCACTTATTGAGGGTGAAACCAGTTCTGCTCAAGCTGCTTTTATGCATCTACGACCACACGGTTTGTGTATTTGATGTAAAAACGGATAAATGTCCCAAACCGGACGAGCGATTGTAACTCCTCTGATCACCGCCTCGCCTTGTGCCGCTTTAATCCAACCTTTTCTCTGCAGACGTGGAGGATCTGCACCTTGACTGCCTCTTACAGCTCCTCTCACATAAACTGTTTCACATGAACACTCCTGATTTTTTTTATTTTCTAAGGAAAGCATGCCAAGAATTATTTCAGGCTCCATTTTTTTTATTTTGAAAAATTAACTTTTGTATCATTTTAAGGTGCCTAAGTTATGATGATGCAATTTTCTGAATGTTTTTACTTAAATTGAAAAAAGAAAAAAAACTTGTAAAGAAAAAAAATGTAGATTTGTGTTTTCTCCTTTTGGTAACAGTAGCTTGTAAAGTGCTTTAGACATCGTTTCTATTAAACCATCTATTCCTAATAAGTCCTGTCTTGTCAGCTGTTTTCTGAGCTGAGAATGTTTCCTAACAGGAATTTCTCCTTATAGAGAGACAGGGGGCTTCTTGAAAAAACACTTTTAAGAGGAACTTCTGAGAAGGAAGATGGCTGATGTGGTAGGCGTGTGGTTTCATAGCTTCAAAACGGACAGAGAGCCCTTCACTTCCTGTTCTCAGTCGCTCAGTTGAGGCTCTTCAGACGCGTCGACGTTTCTCTGACGAAGGGAGCGAACAAAGCGGTTCCTTCTCCTCCTTCTCCGGTAAGTTCCAGCCCTCTGTTGATCCGTCTTTACTGAATCGGGAGTTTGTTTATTCGCTGATGATGTTCATAGAAGCAGCTGGAGACATGAACGTGTGTTACATCCTGGATGGGGTTCTGATCCTGTACGGCATCATTCTCACCGTCCTGTACTGCAGGCTGAGGGTAAGACCCATTAAAAATAACAAAGCTTTCGTGCGGGTGTTATCGTTTTGTTTAAAAATGCAGCTGATTTCAGTTTATTTTTGCTTAAAAATCATATTTTTCCACATTTCTGGTTTGATTTTTCTCAGATGCGTCCATCGAATAAAGCATCCGGCAGCCACCCAGAGGTAAAAACCTGTGTGTTTGTGTTGAAGAATTGGGTGCCATTTTATTTATGTGACTTCTGTGGTAGCTCTTCTTCAGAGCTCAATCGTTTCCTGTAAGCTCGAGCTGACCACCAACCTACATTATTTATTTTCACACTCAGAGTTTCCACTTGTCACCCTGGTGTCAGATCCTGCTTCCTGCTGATGTTTTTGTTTTTCAGTCTTAAACTTTTCAGATGAAATTAAATTAAAATGCAGCTCAAAGAGGGGGGTATAGATATTTAGGACATTTATTTCCAAATCCTGAATCCTCCTGATGATATTTTTGTTTCCGTCCTACAGAAGCAGCCTGCAGGCGGAGGCATCTATGCGGTAAGATTTCTTATTTTAATGCTAAAAATTACTTTTCAAAAGGCACTGGAGGGAAAAGTGAGAGCCAGTCACTTTTTTGTTTTTGTTTTGGTTTTTGCTGAATAAAGCAGCCGGCTGTCGCTGTTTTACGCCCGGTCTGGTTGCAGGAACTGCTTGCGTAAAGCCGTTTTTAACCTTGCATCAGTGAGTTTTTCAGCGTTTGTGTCCTGCAGGGTCTGACGTCCCGCACCACAGACACCTACGAGACGATCAAGATGGACAAGAAGCCCATCGTCTGACCTGCACACCTTCTGTGCAGCCGAAATAAACATATACATATTTAAATATAGCTTTATACTCTGGTTATATGTACTTTTTAAATTACTTTTACTCCTTTTTCCTTTTGTAAAATACTCCTTGTCTAATTTGTTTCTGCACAAAATATTACAGCTAATAAATTAATTTAACAGTGTTTAATTCTTTTCTGAGTGTTTCTGTGCTTCCCAGCTGGTTTCAGTCAGAAAAAGCAGAAGTTTCAACATATTTTCTGTTCCCACTTTTTCAAGTCTTAAATTAAGTCTTACAATTTTATTCTACTTTACTAAAGCGACGGTTATCAATCCTGTTTGTGTTTTTATGTATTACAGTGTTGATCAATCATTATTTTAGTTATTTCTTACACATTTTTCAGTAATCTGAAATGTTTTATTTCCTGTCAGAGCCATCTATCAGTTTTTGGTTGTCATTTATCTCAGTCGATCTAAACTACTTCACTTTGCCTGTGGTTTGATGACATCTGCTCGTTTCTATTTGTGGTATTTTAAAGTTTGAAAGACAGTTGAGAAACTGACTCAGTTTTCAATACAATATTAATCATTCAATGTTGACAATTCTGAAGCTCTTGTGATAAAACTACTCAGTTGTCAATAAAACTGAGTAAAGTTTCATGTAAAACATTTATGATATTAGATGACATTTGACATTTCGTTTGTATTTCCTTTTAATTCATGTAAAACACTTTGAATTGCCTTGTTGCTGAAAATGTGCTATATAAATAAAATTACCTTACCTACCTTACCTTACCCAGACAGTTGATTTAAACTTTAACTTCTTCTTCATTAATTAAATGTAAATCAACAGGTTGTTGTTCTCTCGACAGAGTGATGCTAAAAGGAGTAACACCCTTTGAACTTTTAATTTAGATATTTGCAAAAACATATGCGATATTTACGTTCATGCATGACGGTAATTGTTACTTTTTTTACTTGTTGACTTCAATCATCGCTGAGGCAGCAACAATGCTGTAGTAGAAGTTAGAAATACTGCCACCTGCAGGCGAGAGTTGGCATCACGTAAACCTCATGTTTTCCTACCAGACATTTTTAGCTTCATCTCAGATATTTTCTAGAAAAACATCTGAGTTTGAAAAATTTTAAATTTGCTTGAAAAAAAGAGACTTTTTTTTTTTTTAGAAAATTTCCAAGTTGAAATTTTTTTTTACTTTGAACCTCAAAAATGTTCATGTTTTTTCTAGAAAATTTCTTAGATTAATTTACCAAAATCTGAAATGTTTATTTATTTATTTATTTTATTTTATTTATCTGATATTAATCTCGAAATTTCACTTTTTTTTCTGGAAAATGTTCAACTTTTCAAACTGAGGAATTTTCTACCTTTGAGACTTGAAAATTTTATCTTTTGAACCTCAAAAATGTTCAGTTGTTTTTCTAGAGCATTTCTGAGATTAATCTCAAAATTTCAGGGGGGGGGTTTCTGGCAAATGTTCAACTTTTAAAACTTAGAAGAAGATTTTTACTCTTCCTTTCTTTGTCCATATGGTCATCATAATTTGCTGTTAAACTGCAGAACATCAGCAGGAATATTTCTGAACATCCAGACTGGACATGCAGCTTTGTGGGATGTGATTTTCTCATTCATTCCTTCTGATGGATTTGCATAAACATAACTGGAAACATGTTCAAAACAGATAAAAGCACCAGCTGACAGTTTGCCTCGAGGCTCCTCGCACCGATGCCATGAAATCACTTTATGATGCATGTGTGTATTAAGCTGTGCAACAAAAGACTTGCTTAATGCAACAGGATAACCGGAGTGTGTTGGTGGAACATAAACATTTCTTAATCAGTGAATTAAAGCAGCATGTTTCATTGCTGTTGTTGTTACTACGCAGCGAGTGAATCAACATCACAGTCAGTTTGTATTTATTTAATCTGGGACAAAACAAAGCGTTACGCCTCTGCGTCACGTGCTGCAAAACATCTGTATGAATAAATGAAGACGCCTATTTATTCCATGCAACCCCTGAAGCAACAGATAAGCCACTGAAACAACACAAAGCAACTGATGCTTTGGCAAAACCAAGTCATGATGCATTCACTGCCCCTGGGAAATTTAGGTTTCTCTTAAAAGTCTCCATCGAGATTTAATAAAACTAAAATATTGAGTACTGAGATTTCTGACTAAACATTTTTTGTACATATTTTAAAAAAAAAAATCTAATTTATGTCTTTAAATACACCTGAACATGAATACAACATTTAAGAAATTGATAAAATGAGGCATAAAATAACGTATTTACGTAAGAAATGCACACATTTAGTGAGTAAAAATCTGTTTATTTTATGTAAAATAACAGTTTGTTCATGTCAGTGGCATCACTTTTAATTCACATTTATGCTTTAAATAAAAATGTGACATATATAGAAGCTATATACTTCAAGATGGGAAGATATCAGCATCAATTAAAGAATTCAATTTGTGCCAATTCGCAAAAATATAATCTCGAGACAATTTACAAAATAATAATAATAATAATGATAATGATAATGATAATAATTCAATCATTCATACTCCAATTGATCAAGCAGTACAATAAATTCAGTTAATTATTCAAAGTAGTTCAAAAAGTTTCTATCCAAGAAGATAGAAACTTTACATGAGATGAAGTTCTGTGCAGTTGAAACTTTTTTTGTTTACCATTTACATGCATTTCTTAAAAAATATATAAAGTACCCAAAATTGCACTCAAGTAAGAGTAGCACTACTTCAATGTAATTTTATTCAATAAAAGTAGAAAAGTATTTGGTAAAAAGTTTACTCAAATACTGAATAACTGATCAAGTCATCAATCAATTCATATTTAAAAATTCTATCATCACACAGAGCAAAAAAGTAAAGTTAAATGGAAATTTTAGTATTTTAAGGATGAAAAAGACAATAATTATTTAAGTAATAAAAAAATTTACATCAGGTGAAACATTTTTTTCAAAATCGTTTTTTTATTTTCAAAAACTTATGAGACTTTAGCAAAAACTGCAGGTGTGTGCCTGGTGAGTTTTTGGTTAAACCATGTTTGTTTTTCATTTAGTGGGTAGAAAATCCAAAAATTTTACTCAAGTAAGAGTGGAAATACTTTGTAATAAAAGTACTCAAGTGAAAGTAAAGAGTACAACAAAGTAAAAAAAACAAACAAACAAACTCCTAAAATTAATGTTTTTTCAAAAAGGTTACTGAAGTAATTGAGTAAATGTAACTAGTTTCTACCCAACTCTGCATATAGCATTTAAGTGACATTCCACCATTCTGATGAATAATTGATAAAATAATCAATACTGAAAATATTTTTTCATTCATTTTTAAATGTAGAATTAACCACTCAGGTATCATTTAGTGAATCTCCTCATTTTAAGAAACACTTACATTTTCACAGACACCTGAACGCGTCATTTGAACTTGGGCGGGGCTTATCCCGACAGGTGTAGCAGCGGCTCCAACCTGCCCAGGTTGCGGTGCGCCTCTGCGTGACGAGCGGACAGGTTTTTGTTAGACAAATACGCGCCGTGTTCCTTTCTGCTGCTGTAACAGTTTATTCCGCTCCTGCTGCAATTTGCATTCACCTGTAATGAAGTCAGCGCGGCTCCAAAGGAACGACATTCCCGTCCACTCGTGGGCAAATGTGAATTTTTAGACTAAAACCCCCGAAGAGGAGCTGAGGAAGAGGGAGAACGTCCTGGGCACGTTATGAAAGCTTAACATGATAATTTAAAAAGCCAAAAAGGGAAACTAAAAGTTCCAGTTCGGGGTACAGATGGAGTCGATGACCGGACTAATGCTTCTTCTGCTCCTTGTCGGTGAGCTTTCTTTGGAAATCTGATTAAACCGGTTCTGAGCTATGTAGTCCTGCTTTAAGGCTCAGACTTGAAAGGATTTAGATTTAATCTGATTTTAGTGCAAATATTCAGCAGAAATAACTTTTCATTTAATAAAAAACACGCAGATTGCGGTCATTTCAGGAGAAAACAGCGCGGTGGGTGTTAAAGTTGCTCCACTCGCTGCGTGACGTGTAAAGCTATTAAGATAAGAACTCAATTTCATTTTACTTTGGCTTTAATTTTGATTTGCACGCATTTTATTCAAACAAAGTTAAGTCTAAAGGCTGCTGGTGAGGTTTTAAATCTTCATTTTAAGGAATTTCAAAGTTAAACCTTCATGTTTTCAGTTGCTTTGTTTTAGAAACTCATCTATTTTTTCTACTTTTGTAGAGAAACAAACTCTCAGCCTGTTTGACAACTACTGCAGCTCGTAAAATGCTGCTGCTGCTGAAAGGCTTTCTGTTCCTGTTTGGGAGGTTTGCTTGTTTCCTCCTAACTTATTATTTAAGTATGTCTTGCATCTGACGTACCTGCCAACTTTTTATGATCGAAGAGAAAGAAAGTATTGGAAAAAAAGCTTTCTGCTTGCATTGTCTGAAACAGTTCCCTGCGTGTTTCGAGCTCTTATTATAGTTATTATGTTAATCTTCAGCTCTTCCCAGGCAGTGACGTTTGTTGTGAGTTGTTCTTGTTCAGGAAATTCTGCATATTCTTTATTTTTGTGGTGAGAACTTAAGAAATCCCGCATTTGTTCAGGTGTGGCTGCACAGAGATCATAATTACCTCAGGGAGCAAAAACATCTTGGAGATATTTTAGAGCGAAGTTTGGACTTGCTCCTTTTCTTATGCATTTCATAACCAGTTCTCTTTAAAAAATGTTTATTTTACTGTAATATGCACAGATATCTTCTGCATTATAAATAGTCAAGAGTATTTCTGAATTTTTAAGGAAATTTTAATATTTCGTAGTTGGGATTTGCATGTTGTTTTTTTTATTCTTTCACTCAGAATTTGAACAAAAATAATAGATAAAATGGGAATTTAGCTTAAAACTTTTAGCAATATGTTTTCAAACTGTCAAGTAAGTATATTTTTAATGCAGATTTACATTAAAAACAATGCAAATGTTTCTGAATAACTGCATTATTACTGCACCATTTCAGAACAATTATCTCAATGCACTTAAAAAATAAATCAAATTAATTTAGAGCCGATATAAATCAGCCCAGACTGTCCAGTTCAACCCAAATGATAAAATATTACCTTTTAATTCAAAGGATTATTTAATGTGAATGCCTGTTGCATTATGTTACTGTCTCCTACTGAGCAAGCATGTGGTGAAAGGGGAGAGAAACAACTAACATGAAACGGGTAGAAACCTCCAGGAGCAGCTGGGCTAAATGTGAGCGGCCATGTTTTTATAGCTGGTTGAGAGTTCAGAGGGCAGCAAAGACAAAATCATGGACAAATGGAGCTCCAACCTAAAACATATATGTTAATTGGTCCCAAGTAATTAAATGAAGTTAATCAAACTTACTTTTTTTATTTTTGTTTAACTAGGCAACTAAAGTAACTTGGATAAAGTTAATTTGATTACCTGTGACCAATTAATGCAGTACATTTAAGTTGGATCATCTGTTGTCTTTTGTCACTGAATGTAAAGATGAATCAGAGAAAATAAACACCGGTTAGAATTAGGGGAATATGTTTAATTTTGTGGGATCAAAAAGGTGAAAACCAAGCAGCAGACTGTTGGAGAAACTTCTTTTTTAGTTTTTTTCCTCAGCGCTCGCTGCTGAAATGTCCTAATGTTACATTGTGTGGGAGGTGTTGAAGAATGCAAACGTCCTCTTGCTGACATTTCCCACCCTGACATGAAGTAAAATCAACAGGGAGGTTAAAAATGTGTTTGTCAGTGTTGAGATGTAGCAGCTGATTGTGTGCAGGTTGGTGGGGTTTTTCTGCAGACCTGTGTTGTGTTTTCATCTATATTCTAGTAGATTGTGTAGTTTCAACACAGACGTATTTATCAGCAGGCTTAATCTGCTGTTTCTCCTGATATTTCATATCCTGAAGAGCTTATAAACACAGAAATGTTGCTGATACAGTTCAGTAAGCTCATGCTGGAGATCTTTAGTAGGACGTTTTGACTTGTGTTTGATGGAGACTGAGCCGTGGTGCTTCAAAACCTCAAGGATCAGCCCTTAAATTTTACACCAGCTCTGGAAGATCTGAAATATCTGAGATGTTTGTGTTGAATTTGAAAGGCTGTAAGACTCTGAGCTGTTTACCAAAAACAGACTTTAAAATGCAGAATGTCCTCTTAAGGTAACGTCACTCTGAATGTTTTGTTGAGAAATCAGCCTGACAGGATGATGGATTTTGCCTTAGAGTTCACATCGACGCTGAAAGAATCAGTGCTCTATTTTGTTGAAGTTGGTCGTTCCTGTTTGTTACTCCATCTGCATTCCTACGGCGTTTTTGTCCTCAACTTAAAGGTGACCTATTAATGCACAATTATACAACTGAAAAGCAAAAGTGGAGCCTCCTACTCAACCAATAAAAATGCAGCTAGTAGTTTCTGGATGGTAAGCAAATACCAAACTTGTCTTTTCCAGCAGCCATTGTACAGCGCAAACAGCAGTAAAACAAGCTGACCAAAAGTGCTGGAGCTCTTCTGAGTCTCTAGGAAACGTGAGGAAACCCGATGTGACTTTACAATCGGGAGGTTTTTGAAATGGCTGATTTTCCAGACACCAAAAAACATCTGGATGTTTTTGGAAGCAGCAAAAACCCAAATGGAAGTACAAAAAGGACAAAACAAACTTCCAAGAAACTTTTCAACAAGAAATAGAGGTCGCTTTAACGTCAATAATTTCTAAATATTGATGAAAAAGTACCAGGTATAAGTGAAATAATCTGTCAGCAGAAACATTTTTTCCATCAATATTAAGGAGTTGTTGACATTAAAGCAAGACTTATTTCTTGTTAAAAGGTTTCTTGGAAGTGAGTTTTGTTTTATTTAAAGTCCAGTAAGATATTTACACTAGAAACTAGATAGAAATCTTTCAATGACTGCACAAGTTTATGTGCAAAATAACTTCCTGCTATAAAAACTGAATTTGCATGAAGATGTTTTATACATTTTTTTAATCAGATAAAATGTAAAATTCTGTAACTAGAATATTTTTTTTTTCCATAAGAACTTTTTTATTTCGATGGCTTAAACGTGTTATCATGATAACCCCTTTAAAGCTTCTTTAGTTTTCCGGTTTTGGTGAAAATGACTAAAGAAAACTCACTCAGCTGTTTATTAGAAGATACTACAAGACAAACACGAAAGGCAGTTTATTTTGTTCACTTGCTTTAAAGCACAGAGAAGTGCTGTTAATAAAACATGTTTTCTACTCAGATCAGCGTAAACCCGCTCTATCAAACTGTGAGTTAAGTTGTTGCTGTCTGAACTCAGACGCCTGCAGGTAAAGTCGTGGATGTCCACGTAGTTCAGACGATGGAAGTTGTCTGAAGGTGCGACAGAATGCTGCCCGGGCGCATTCCTCCTTCTAAACATGAATCAGAGGTTGTTGTGCAACCGGCATCTTCCCGTTTTCATGACTAATTCTGCTGCTCGTCTCTTTTGTTTCCCTCCTCTGTGGTTTAAAGCCACCAGCAGAAACGAGGTCTGAGACTCTCGCTCCATTTAGAAGAAAAAATACTCTTATCAGGCTTTTGGTTTCAACAGGTGTGATAATCTCAGGTGTGATGGAGTTACTGTCACTCTGAGGGAACTGGGAAAGCCTGAAGGGCAGCTTTGTGAAGTCGTGTTTGTCTAGAGTGTGTGAACAGGGGTTAACTCTTCCTCTCCGTTTGCTGTTTATCTTTTTATCTTGTCTTTGGCTTACTCTAAAACCTCGTTTAATCTGAGTGTCCATCCAAGGTCTGTCTGTCTGTCTGTCTGTCTGTCTGTCTGTCTGTCTGTCTCTCTCTCTCCCCCTCCCTCCCTCCCTCCCTCCCTCCCCTGCACTGCACTGCAAAAACACAAAATCTAACCAAGAAATTTGGTCTGAGGTGGACAGAGTACCCACAAAATGTACTCAAGTAAGAGTAGTGCTACTTTAACATATTTTTAGTTGAGTAAAAGTAAAAAGTAGCCGTCCAAGAAATGACTCAAGTAAGAGTCAAAAAGTATTTACTCAACTTCTGAGTAACTGATCAAATCATCAATTAATATTTAAAAATTACATCATCAGGTGGAATAAAATATAAAGTTAAGAGGAAATTTTGGTATTGTAAGGATATAATTAATATAAATAATAAAAAATAGCAAAAGAAAATGTTTCCAAATCAGTTTCTTTCAATATAAAACTGATGAAACGTTAACAAAAACTGCAGGTGTGTCTCTCTGTGTTTGGTGAATTTCTGGTTAAAAAATGTTTGTTTTTCATTCAGTGGGTAGAAAATCCAGACGTTTTACTCAAGTAAGAGTAGAAATACTTCATAATAAAGTTACTCAAATAAAAGTAATGCATGCAATGTAGTAAAAATACTCCCAAAAGTAATATTTTTCAAAAAGTTATTCAAGTAAATGTAAGTGAGTAGATATAACTAGTTAAAACCAACTCTGGTTTAGTTTCTAGTGAAAATATGTTGGTAGAGTTAAAATAATACAAAAACTAACTTATAAGTAAGTTTTTAGCAAGACATAGCAGCTTGTTTTACATCACTAATTCCTTAATATTGATGAAAATGTAGTTTAGTTTCACTGGCAGATTATTTCACTTATAACTTGACATTTATCTCATATTATTAGTGAAATAATCTACCTTTAGATCTAGAACGTTTTCATCAATGTTAAGGAATTACTGATGTGAAACAAGAAGCTACTTCCTGCTGAAAACTTATTTATAAGTTAGTTTTTGTCTTATTTTAAGGGCAATAAGGTATCTGCCCTAGAAACTAGACAAAAATACCTGGTAATATGTTGTGTTTTGCAGTGCAGACTGACTTTTCGTCTCTCTGTGGGACATCTGGACATCCCAGATGTCCTTGCGTCCTTGCAGGATCCGTGGGATTTTGTGCCCAATATTGGCAACTCTGTAATCATTTATCGGGTTTGTGAATCAGTAACCAGAGAAGGAATAAACGTGTTCGTCCTAGAAATCAAAGTTCATTTGTTTGGTCTGAGTTTTTGATTCACCGCTCTCATGGTGAAATGCAACCTTTAACTGGTAAAAGCCACTAATGAGCAACAGAGCTGAGTTTCCGTCAGTCTTAAAAAACTAGAAAGAAGAAATAAAACTGCAACGTGCCTGAAAATGTCACCAGAGCTTCAAATTTGGGTTGAAATACTGAAAATATATAAAATCAAGTGAAATGATTGTTCAAAACTTTGTGTTTTAGTTATTGGGTTCAACATTTGATCTGTTTGTGCAGCTTTACTGGAAATGCAAAGTTAAAAAGGGAATTGAGTTAAATAAATTTGAGTTTTAACATACTGAGTAGAATCTGCAAAAGACCTTCTAAAAAGCACAAAGGAGACAAATGTCATGTCTGTGCAGTGAATACTAAAGAAAACTACAAGTTCATTCATTCAAGTTGAACATTTATGATATGAAATGACAATATCATCACAGGAAGTTCTCCTACATCAGTTTCTTCTTAGCACATCTGCTAATTATTAAAAAATTATTAAAATGCCGGGTATATTTGTGCATTAAAAACAGACTATTTACAATAAGGGATGAAAGGATTAATCAGATGAATTGATTATTGAAATAATTAACTAATTTAGTAATCAATTAATCATTGACTAGGCTATAGAAACTCAAAATAGGCAAATTTCTGTGAGAATAACAGCAGTAATTAAGACAAAACCGGACAAAATCTGTAAAAAAGTTCAACCAGGAGCTACACAAGTTTAACTTATTTTTGTTTTATTTCCTTTATTTATCCAGGTAAAACCATATTGAGATCCAGATCTCATTTTCAAGAAGGATGTGCAAAAAAACCAAACAAAATGAAAAAAACACTTCTATTAATCACCTTGTACTGTCCATTTATTAATCAGTTAATCCAAAATATAAACAACAGATCATCCCTGACTTATTAATGTTAAGTCAAGCAGAAACCGCTGAGCTTTTCACATGATGATGTAAAGTATTAAGTATTTATTAGCTGCAGATTCATCATTTGCTACAAATCATCAGGGAATGCTGTTACTGCATTTTCAGCAATAAAATGTTTATTTTCTTACTTAAAAATGACTTGAATTGTTTGTTTTTCAATATATTTCTAATATTGCATAATAAAGACTTAAAGTGCAAAATGTGCCAAGTTTTTATTTGATTAATTATCAGAATAATCAACTAACGTAATTATTAGTTTGCAACATGTGATGATAAAACGTTTCCGAGAAATAAGAGCAGGAATGTTCTTCAAAATGAGTAAAACTGAACAAATACCAACAAGGATGTGAAGATTATTTAGTCTTTTGAGAGCAGTGGTTGTTGTTAGGAATTAACAGCTGCTGGAAGGGGAAGGATCTCTGTTAATGCTCCGCTGTGCAGCTTGGATGCAGCTGATGGAGCTGTAAAGTTCAGCAGCAGCAGTTTTAAAGCCAGAAGAGACCAGATCTAGACACCAGGAAACTTTTCATTTAATTAAAAACATTAAGCCACTTATGAGTCTCAGTAATTATTGAGAAAACATTAGCTGGCACAAAACATCCTGATCCTGAGGCGGTGTGCCAAGATCATTTAGATTATGAGAATCGACCTCACTTCCTGTTGGGCAGATTTGCAGACAGTTTAAATGGGAAACAATCAGTCTGATGAAGATTAATGTCAAATATCGTGAAAATTGTGCAACACGTGATTGAAAGGTTCATAAATTGTTTCCCTAAAGTGATAATTGACCAAATACTGAAAAAAATCACCAAAAAACGCCAAACTCTGCAATATAAAATGATGTTTTTACATCATCGCTGTAACAAGCCCTGCAGAGATAAAACCACAGCAGTCACTTATGAGTGAGGAAATCAGGATTAGCAGTAAACCTTCTGCACTATTGTTCGCTTTGAAGCAGGAAAACCTTAATACGTCTTAAAATAAAAGACTTAACTCCATTTGAAGAGCCGTGCTTCAGTCTTGGCACACGTGCAGACCTTCCCTTCCTTTCTTTTAGGAGCGTGCGTGTTTTCTCCATGATGCTGAGGTCAAAGTCAAGCAGGTTGGGCGAAGCTCCAGCTGTGGCCTTTGGGAGTGTTTGTCTGTAAACAAATCTATTGAGCCTGTGCATCACTTCCTTTGTAAAACACTGAAGGAGAAAGTGACTCTCTTAACAGATCAAGTTTTCTTTGTTTTATAGTAGACATTGCATTTATGTAATTTGCATCGATAAAGTGAAAAACTCACTGAGTGATTAAGCATTTTTGATATTATGCAATCCTCTGATCTTTCCTGTTTTCTATTTGTGCAGAAGTTTTGGGTAATGCCCGTAAAGCGTTTACAAATTCTACTTTTATTTTGCAGAAAACAGGCATTAGATTTATAAGCAGAAAACGCTGCAGAGATCCAACAAATTCATCGTTCAACTTAAATTTAATGAAATTTCATGACTTGGAGGAATATTATGTTCTGCAAGTTATATTTAAAATACAGAACATCATTTTATCAATTTGCAAAAAAGATTTATTGAGAGAGATAGCATTTATAATCCGAGAGGAACAGATACTTTTTAATATCCCAAAATCAGATGTAGACAAATTGAAAATTTTATTTCAATTTAAGGAACAATATGCCAATTTTTACTTTTAAGAAAATAATGAAATATAATATTCTATCAAGGTATAATTATTCATTAGAGTGCTGTCTCATTACAAAGATAATATATATATTTTCTTACTATTACCTTTATATATATATGGGGAGCTTTTATCTTCAGACTTTTGTTTATGTCATCATGTGCCATTTTAATTTTAACCATTTTAATTTTATGTGAAATAAATAAATATTATTCAAAATAAACATAAAATGTCCTCAGTTCTGCAAGTGCAGCCACCTTTCCCTTTAGAATAAGTTCAGTTATCTGAATTTTGCAACACCTGGTTTTATCTTTCGGTGTCCTAGTTCAAGCATTCCTCCGATCAACTCGTAACACCTTTATCTCTGATTGATGACCCGTTTCTGTTTTCTCCTCAGCAGGATGCGTTCAAGGGGACTTCAGAGAGCCTCCGCAGCCCGACACCGACCTCCAGGGGTTCACTGACGCACAGACCAGACTCCCCTGCTGGTACCAGCCGGAGGCGGACCAGAGGATGGTGCAGGTCACCTGGGAAAAGGTGTTCCCCAACGGCACCAGCAGGCAAATCATCACGGCCCACTTTACTGAAGGGATTAAAGGTATTCGAACCCAGAATGTTCTTGCTGCAAAGCAACAGCTCTACCAACTGCGCCACTGTGCAACCCCTCATTTAATGCATATGTGTTAATTTTTTAAATAAAAATGTAAAAAATATGTTGCAATATTTCTTTTTTTGCTTGTCCAACAATGAACTTTAAGCACAATATTTTGATGAAGCAAAGTCTGATTTCTGTAGAAGAGAAATCTATAAATTATTGCAAATGTGAAACATAAAAATGGACAAAAAACTCCAGAATTTTCTTCTTTTAACAGCTTTTATTGTTGTGCAAAAAGAAATTTTTGATACAAGATGAAAAGTTCACTTAATCTTTGTGTGTTCATTAATTAAACTTAAACAGACAACTCAAAATAAACTCTTTGCTTCTTTAAGAGTACAAAATAAACTCTTTGCTTCTTTAAGAGTAAAACTCTTTCACTAACGGTGTAAAATAAGATTTGCTTTGTCCTGTAAAGGCTGAAGTTACTCAGTTTGACCTGTTTTTATAAAATTTTTCCTCCAGCGGTTGAGAACTCTGACCGGGTGATGTTTGAGACCTACAACCCGATTTCTGAGAGCTCAGCTTTGCTCATCAAAGTCACAAAGGTGTCAGACGCCGGCGTCTACCGGTGCCACATCGTCACCTACCCCCTCGGAAACTTCGACAGGACCATCAAGCTCACCGTGTGGAGTAAGTTTCACACCCTCCATTTCTCTGATGCATCTTGCTAATCACGTTTGGGTTGTTTGATAAAACCATAAAGAGAAGAGCCGCCAACTAGGGCGGTTTGATAATTTCATAATCAGGGCCATAAATCACTCGAAGAATTTATTCTATTTTGATGTAATTCATTGCAACAGTGTGTGAAAAAAAGTCTGGGATGATTGCAAAATGTTGGCCGAGAAAAGACCAGCAGTGAGAAATATCTACGATCTCATCTAATTTCAAGGAAAGACGCGGTGGACTGCTGAATTTATCCTAAAAATAAAAATCTGAAATGTGTGGCATGCATTTGTAAGCAGCCCTCCTTCCAGTCAAAACATTAAGAATACATATTTTCTGCAGTTACCGTATTTTCTAGACTATAAGACACATGTTTCAAAGTTTGTCTGAACCCGCTACTTATAGTTCAACGCAACTTATATATGTTTTTGCTTTTTCCTGTGTGACTTATAGTCTAAAAATTACGGTACCTTTATGTCTTAATGGTCCTAACTGGGAATTGTTTGCAGAATAATTCAAACTTCTGCAAACAGTAATTGATAAATCAATCTTGTTCTTCATTCAGTAAAATTACTCACATTGTGCAGAGAATCCAGACATTTCATACAAGCAAGATTAGCGATACTTCATGATAAAATTACTCAAGAAAAAATACTCCTAAAAAGATATTACTTCCAAAAATTACTCGAGTAAATGTAACTAGTTAACACCAAACTCTGACTTTCACAAACCAACTGGATTTATACTGGGATGAACTTACACACAGATGAACTAGGAGACATCTTCTGGGTGTTATTTAGGGGTATCAGAGTAAAGGGGAGTAAATACAAATGCTTGCCTCACTTCTATGTTTTTATTTTAGCTTATTGTAACATGAAGCAATAGGAAACAAATGAAAGGAAAAGCTTTTGCCAGGTGAAAATCTGGAGTAAACAGCCTGCAAACATGGAGGACAGTTTTTAAAACAGCAGTGGGATTCTGATTTAATCACTCAATTTCAAACATTTCACATAAAATTCAACCTCTGCGCCCTTTACTGAAATATTATTGCTACTGAAGGAACTTGAAAAAATAAAAACATTTAAGGAAAAAAATCATGTTGAGGAAACTGGTTTTCTTTGGCAAGGCTTTGCCATTGTGCCCCAGTATTTTCTTTAGAAAAACTAATTTATGAAGGTGGTATTACTATTTTTTTCACCTGGTGTCACATTTTTTGTGGCTTGTTTCCACTTCCTGAGTGGATCACATGAGGTAACATTTGAATCATCACAGGGTCTGTGGGAACGCGATGTTATCACTTCTGCTGCCAGTCATTGTCGGCAGCGATGCTCCGAGCTTAAGGGCTTGTTTTGGCACGCCTCGCATCACAAATCCACTCAGACCAGTAACTGACAACCTCAAGTCCTGAACAAGGTCCCTGAGCGTTGAAACATTCACTAATTTGCATGTAAAATGTCCGACGAAGACGTTATAATAACCTGGAACTGAACCAACCTGCTCAAGCAGACCGTAGAATATTAACACCATCACTTTAATTTATGCTAATATATGAATTTAAATGTTTTTTTTCCTGCAATCAAACCTTTGATCTATACCAGGGATGTCAAACTCAGTTTAATTTTGGGCCATATCAAAAATCTGAATGTTCTTAAAGGGCCGGTTGCGCCAGGATGTATTTATAAAGCCAATTAAACTGTTAATATATTAATAAATAGCTGTCCCTCCAGGATTTTCTGACAGTTTTTTTTTGTAATCAAAGTCACATATATGATGTTAAATGTGACTTTGTGTGAATTTTGAGGATTTGTGAAAAACTGGAGGGACGTATTGATGTAATTTGGAGTCTTGAGGGCCACATAAAAAGCTAAGGCGGACCAGATTTGGCCCCCGGGCCTCGAGTTTGACATGTGATCTCTACCAATCTGCTGGCTGCGGGTTTATTTTGCAGATGTGACGTCATTTATTTTGTGCTTTAAGAGATTAAACCATAACAGCAGTTGTTGTTATTGCTTTTTTTTTTTTTATAATCCAAAGGCATGTGCAGAGATTGATCAGATGTCAGATGATCATGACTTTCCTGTGAGTCATGGATTGGATTCAAAATAAAAACAAAAGTGTTTACGTGCAAATACATCTGGTGATGCTCCAAAATCCTGCCCAGGGTTCATTCTGATGAGCTTTTATGAAAAAGTGAGCGAGTTTCTGTTGAAACTGCTGAAATGAGACGAAACTCAATCCTAAACCTCACAGAAAACTTTGTAATTAAATCCTGGTGTTACTCGCTCCGATTACAAGCCTAAAAATCTGTGTGAAATGTAAATAAAAACCAGAATGGATCATCATGAAACCCAACTATTTATTTTCATAATGAAGGCACAAGATATTTCCTTTACCGTCTCTCTTCTTGTTTAATTACCATTAAAGGATTTTGTCCCCATTGTTGTGGACATTAAAAGTCTGTTTGTGACCTAAAAAAGGAGAATCATTTCAAATTAATGTGACAAACACTTTGCACAACAAAACTACTAATTAGTGTGAACATCCTCATTTTTAGAAGCACATTTTAAAATACATTTAGCATTCAGTCTCTGGTAAGAGACCGACGACATTTTGACTGAGAAATGATTCTCCTGTTTTAGTGATTAAAACATTAAATCCATTTTTTTACAGAATCTGTCTAGCAGACAACTGGAGGTTTTGTGTCACAACTGACTGATATTTGGTCTTTGTTATTTTATTTAAAGTGAATAAAATCTCACGAGTTTTATCTCATTAGAGGTAACCCCATGGCATGATGCTGCCTCCACCATGCCTCACTGAAGTATCTGGGTTCTTTTGGTGATGTGACGTGTTGGGTTTTTATTTTGCATAGGTGAATAATAATAATAATAATAATAATAATAATAATAATAATAATAATGAAAAATTTTAAGAATAATGATAAAATAATGAAAACAAAAGATTATAATAATGATTAAAAATGATTATAATGGAATAAAAAGATAAAAATAAATACAACAATAAAGAAAATAAAACTAACAATAAAATTAACATATAAACAAAAAAATAATGAAAATTACTTTAAAAAAATAAAATAATTACAATAATTCTGAAAACAAATAATAAAAAGTAATAAGGAAAATAAAGAAATTGTAATGAAAATAAAGAGATAAGTAAAGTAGTTAAAACTCCAATAAAAACTCCATTAATATAATATATTTCAGTTTCCACTGCAGACATTTGACTTTGGTAAAGTAGGGCAGGTGCAGGTGTGCTATTGCAAACTGGGCATTGTTTCCTAAAGCTGAACTTCCTTTAGGTGAACAGCAGCCATTGTGTCTGCACTGAAAACAATCTATGAGGCTAAAATGTGAACAGTAACCTCCTTATGTTGGCTGAAAAGCCAGGAATACCATTTGAATGCATCATCTGTGGACAATCCCTAAAATAAAACAAAAAGTATTTCTGGTCAGTGTCGCCCTGCAGTATCACTTAAAGCTTAGAAAACAAACATGAGCTTAAAAATACTAACCAGCAAATATCTCCCTGCTCTCCTTAGTGCTGCCCATCACCGCCGTGGAACTGGAGGACCTGGTGGAAGGCCAGGCGTTTGGCGTTGTCGCCACCTGTCGGGCCGTGGGCTACCCCAAACCCGGGCTGTCCTGGGACACCGAGCTGCCCGGCTACTCCAGGAACCACACCGGGGAAGACGGGAAAACATTCATCCAGTACTCGCTCCACCCGCTGCGCAGCATGAACGGCAAGAAGCTGGACTGCTTGGTGTGGCATCCCAGCCTGAAGGAACCGCGCAGGGTCGCTAACCACCTGGTGGTCCAGTGTGAGTACAGAACCGACGAACCAGTCAGGTCCAGTTAGGACTTCCAAGTTACGAGTCTGTTACTGCGGAGAACTGGCTACAAAGTCGAATCATTAAACATGAATCACTTAAAGGGGGTCCATTATGAAAAATTCTTATTTAGTATGTTTTTATGCTTCCATTTGAGTTTCTGCTGCTTCTAAAAAACAGCAAAGTGCTTAAAAAAACAACAGGATGTTCTTTGGCAAAAACCTTTTTGGTGTCTGGAAACTGAGCGATTTTAAAAACCTCCCAATTGTTAAGTCAGTCAGTGGGCATTAACTATCTTATGTAATATTATAAATACATTAAAAAATGCAAATAAACAAACAACTAAATCTATTTCTATAATACAATAAGCATTTTATTCCCTAAAATGCAATAACATCATTCTTTTAGTGAATGTTTGATCGTTTGTGGCAAAGGATGCATCTGCAGTAAAAAAAAACCTTTCAATATTGTGAAGATCTCAACCCTTTCTGCTTGACTTATCAATACAGTGCAAGACTGATCAGTTGATTGTTTTTTGAATTAATCGATTAATAATTGGATAAAAGGTGCTTAATAGGAGAAGTTAAAATCAGGCTGAGTCCTGACCTTTGTATTCACAGACAAAGGTCATGCATGTACATTTTTAATTTTAATTACTGCTTTCAGTATGTTGTTTTTCAGAAATTGGTGTTTTTAGAATCTGTAAACTATTAATAAATTACTAAATTAATCCCATTAATTGTTTCAACCCTTATTCATGTTAGACTTGAGATCGAGATCCATCTTTCTCTCGTAAAGTTGTGACCATGGCGTGCTTCAGTGTGTAGTTTTACCTGCTGTTGACTCTCAAAACAAAACAGTAATTATGTTTGTGGTGATTCTTTTGTTGGCATTTAGATTAACTAGAGTTCACAGCCGGATTCCTAGAAGGAATTTTTTATTGCTTTTAACAAATATGCCCAAACTTTTTCTGTTGTCACAGCAAAGTGAGAAGATTTGTTCCACTACATTTTTACATGTTCAGTTATGCAATGTTAGAATATCATTTACAGCTCTGGAAAAAATGAAGAGACCATTTAAAATGATCAGCTTCTCTGATTTTACTTTTTATAGGTTTATGTTTGAGTAAAATGAACATTGTTCCTTTATTCTATGAACTACTGACAACATGTCTCTGAAATTTCAAGCAAACATTTTGTATTTATTAACAGAAAATGAGAAATGGAAGAGATGCAGTGCTGTCAGACATCAAATGGTGCAAAGAAAACAAGTTTGTATTCATTTAGAAACAACAGCACTAATGTTTTAACTCAGGAAGAGTTCAGGAATCAATATTTGGTGGAAGAACCAGGAGGTTTATAATGTGGTTCAGTGCTGTGGGCTCTCAGTTTTTTCCAGCTGTAGTTCCTGAACTGAATCCTGCCTGCTGAACTCTCAGTGATGATCAAGTCTGGAGCATCAGCGGCTTACAGAGGCTTCAGCCTTCACACTGACTGCGTTAACGTACTAATCTGGCTGCAGCCGGCATCAAAATGGGTGTTTTCTTCCTTTAGCGAAACCTAAGGGTGGAAAATGAGTTTTAAATGACTGAGCGACTGTTTAAACCTTTCTCTGGGCTCTGAGCCAGCTTTGTTCAGATCTTCCTGTGTCCTCTGTCCTTGAATCATATTTATTCAGCCTCGGTTGTCGTTCTGTGGAAGTAAGTGAGAACTAAATGTTCGTCGGTAATGACAGATCAGATTATGTCCAGGGAAAATGTGGACATGCTCCGACCTTGACTTTTTTTTTTTTGTAGCCATGCTAACTTTTTAGCATCTCTGTGTTATAGTTAGTGTTTGGTTTTGGATTTGATGTGACTGGCAACTTTAAAGGTGTGGATGTGATTCATGAACTTGATGTCTTTGGAGTTTCCCACTCTGGTACACCAGAAATTAGCATGAACTGATAAAATATATAAAAATCAAACATCCAGTTTTCCTGGATTTCTACCTGAACAAAGATTTTCCAGACTGGCAAACTGCATTGCGGATTGGATGAAAGCAGAATTTGAGTAGTTGTATTGTGATTTTCCTCCACTATGCTTAAGATTTGATCTTCACTTGGGATTTAACAGCAAGATTCAGTTCATAAACTACATGACATTGTAACTTTGCATGACTGAATGTTTAAAAATGTTGCAGAACAGATCTTCCCGTATTGTCACAGCAGCAGGAAAGGCTTGGTCTTAACAGGTAGTCATCATGAAGGCTTCCTTCAAGGATCTATTTTAAGAGTTGGCTGCAGGTAAAGCTGCAGTGGTGGCTTATGAGAGAAGGATGAGATCAAGTTCTCCAGTCGAATCGGAATCAGTAAATAGAAGGGAATTCAAATGAAGAGATGGAAATGAAATATTTGACTATGAAATGTAAAAACTGGATGCAGATGATTATTTTTCTTTTTTAAACCATTCTCTGATGTGAAGTAGAAATTAAATATATACCAGAAAGACACAAACAGCGAGGATATTTCAGCTCTGTCAATCACTCCTAAGTGTGGCACTGCTCTCTCTCTCTCTCTCTCTCTCTCTCTCTCTCTCTCTCTCACCTCTTTGCTCTTTGGTTCGCTGCAGCTAGCACAGCATGTTATGAATGCTAAGCTAGTTGATGAACGGTTTTTCTGTTGCGATAAGTTGTTTCTCTGCCATTAACACATTTAGCATCGAGTACATGAGATTGATTGACGACACTGAGACCCACCTCCTGGCTTTGATTGGTTGTTTTTTGTGCATTTCTTTAGACGTCATTAGCAGCTCAGGGAGAAGGTGGAGTAGATTGATCTTTTCACAGATTATCTGTCTCATATTACACTGTCTTGACATGGTGACAGTTTTAACAAACACAAAAAACAGATTTAAAAAATAAATAAAAGTTACACACTGCACCTTTAAAAGTTGTCCTCTCCTAAAGGTTCACAAGGTTTTGCTTTTTTTTCTATAATTCCTTGCCTTTGTTTTCTTTTAATTGGTTTTACTTCAACAACTGTTTCAGTTTAATTTCACTCACTTGCTGAAACCTCTTTCTCTCTTAGAAAGAAGTTGCAGTTTAATTTTTTAAAACTACAATGCTTGCTTCTTTGTTTCAGACCCCCCAGATCCCATCATCTCCAGTTCCCCCAGTAACTGGCAGGTTGGTTTGCAGAAGGCCGAGCTGGTGTGCGAAGGCAGGGGAAACCCAACACCCCAGAATGTCATCTGGACTCGGTACCATCATCATATCACACAAACCTACATTTTACCTCTGCCAATTACATGTTAATTTAGCACCCTGCAGTGCTAAATTGCTCTTTATGTGCTGCAGGAATGTGGCTGAAAACAATTATATGTTACACACTGGTACAAAACAAAGCACTCGAGTTTAAAGTGGGACGACTTTTTCTGCTCGATTTGCTGCGGAAATCAAAAGCCGTGGTGTCGAGTTGCGAAATGTGAAGTGAGACTTTCTGGGGCAGGAGACGTTTTCACACGAGGGATGGAACCAGCGACATGGGGAAGAGCAGGAGACGCAAACTAAGCACTTAATCACAGAGCGATGCTTTAAATATCACTCTAATGTCTGGTAAAAACACAGGGTCTGTGCTTTAATTAGAGACACCGTACCAGCCATTACATCTCTGCATGTGCGCATAGCAGTCGAATGCAGGGTGGAAAATCTTTAAACAGGAGACAACCTTTAGATATTAAAAAATAATGACATAATCAGATGCAAACGTCCCAACTTGCCCATCAGTAATCAGATATAAAAATATTATCAGTCTTCTTACATAACCAGTGCAGAGAGGTCTGCCAAACTCCACCTTTAAGATTTAATCCGATGTGTTTCAAGAAGAAAATATGCCATTTATGAGGAAGTTAGTCTAAAATGAGAGAATAATGTTAAAGCTTATGCAATATTGAACTTGCACATTCTGCTTTCTATTTAAAATTAGTACATTTATCTGAAAAGGTGCAGCTTAACGTCATATTAGGCAGCAGACATAAAGCTTACAATTCTATATTTTTAAACCTGTTGCTGATGGAAAGATTGCAGACTGTCAGCTTTTCTGACTCGTCTTCGATCTAGGTTAATTTTTTGTGCATTATTCACTCTACAGTAATTTTTATAGGTAATTAAATTTTTTTATGTAGTTGCCTATATTTTTTTATTTATTTTAGATTTCATAAGCTTGAAAAACCTTATCTTTGCAAAAAATCTATCGCACTTCAGAAATTACAAAGTGAAGAGGTTCCAGTCAAGATCTGAGTGATTTAAGATTTAACATTTGCAGATATTGAGTTCTAATCAGATACTGCACAAATCTTAATAAAGGAATGGTACTGGATGTATTTGAGAACTCTGTGGTTTTAAAGTTCACAATATCCCTGTTTCAGGAGCGTAAACTTGCTTATTTACAAATTTTAAGAAGTAAAAAAAAAAAACAGGTGCAACGTACATTTATGACATGCTTAATTTGCTTAATTTAATATAAAACGCATAAAAGCATATAAAACCTGGAAATATTTAAGACTTCCTAAGACTCAGAAATGAAATTTATGAATTAAATGATTTTGTAACCCTGCAAAAATCCTGATATTTCAACATAAACAGAGGGTTTGCAAGTTAGCGTCAATGCTGCTCCAACCGAGTTGGACATCTTAAAATATTCAGTTTGTTCCTGCAACTGATCCCCTAAAACACACAAAGCTTTTAAATGTCCTTCTTTAGATATATTTGACCCAACACATACAGCTTCACTGCCTAATAAATTCATTTCTTTCCTTCTTCTGATGATTGTTTTCATGTTGTGCAGTTAGCTGAAGAGCTAAGCTAACGCTACTCTCTGTTTTCAGTGCAGTTCCAGTTAACTGTGAGGACAAAATATACAAAAAAAAGTTGTTTTCCTGCTTCAAATACTTTACCATTTTCTTTTAAATTCCAGTTGGTGAACAAAAACAGACACAGAGCTGCAGCAGCCAGCACAATAAGAACTTTGTTAGGGTGAAACCCATTAATTTGTTTAGCTAGTTCAACAAAATGATTCACTGACCTCTGTGTCATCCAGCCAGCTTTCATCTACATGGTCATTCATCTGTCTGATTACTGGAGTACTACATTTATCTAAGGCTGCAGCCGAATAACTGAGGCTCTTTGTTTAGCAGATGCAGGAAGTATATTTATGTCGCTACTCTTTCGTTTTGGAATGGGGAAAAACGTTTGGCCTTTTTCTTTCTGTTAACGGGGCCAGTCCAGAGAGACATCACCCCACAGACCATCAGGACCGAACGGTGTACAAACGTACACCATTTCCAAACTAGTCACACTGTAAAACCACAATTTTGATCTGTTGTTTGATTATAATTGTCTGTAAATCGATGAAACCAATTTTTAAAAGAACCTGAAGCATTCTGGTAGCTGCTACAGTCTTTTTTATTTCAATGGGAAAATCTTTATAAAGATTGAAAAACCCTGCCTAATTTGTAAACTCCATAAAAAAATGTTTATGGTTATTTTGTAAGCTGAAGACACATAAATACGCTGTAATTTTACAATATTTGCTGCACTGACTGCAGAGAGGAGACCAACAACATGTGTAAGGAGTTGACTTTCCTGACAGAATCAGTTCCGGATATTTCTAAATTAATTATAACCATTTGTTATTATATTCATATATAAACACTGTAACTTCTGGTATCATAACTTTAAAGTGAAACTACTGCAAAGTAAAACAATATTTGGAAAATGTTCTGTCAAACTTGGTTGTCTGGCTTTGCAGGTCTGCAGTGTAGCACCACAGTTTCCTCCCTCCTTCTTTTGTTTGTGTTGTTTCACATTTTTGCTCTTTACAAAAACTTTGACTGGAGTGTTTTTATTGTGTGTCTTTAAAAATCTAACTTTAATAAAAGTTATTAAGGCAGTTTAAAAAAAATGCTTAAAAATGTGTTGCATGTTGCACATGAGATTTCACATGTGGAAAACATCCATCTATCCATTTTCTACACTCGGTTAACCCTTGCAGTGGTTAATTAGTGATTTATTTCTCCATCACACAGATGGAGAATAATTCCTACACGCATAAAAGATATTTAGAATGACAATTTATCATAATACACAAGGCTTAGAACTATACAAAGAAAACAGATCATCCAAAAAAAAAAAATTAAATATGCAAGTATACAACATGCACAGTCCACAAAAAGAGGCTACAGTCAAGTTTTAATCCGGTATCTTGTTGTTGCATGTTTAAAAACCGAGTTATTGAATGGTTTGTAGAAGCATGAAATGACTTGTAACCCAGAAAATGCAACAGCTTCACAGTTTCTGACCCTTACTGTGAATTTGCTGATGTGAATGCTACGTGTCCTGTAGTAACGCTCCACTGACCGCTTGGTTTCACTCGCGGCTGTGCACAACAATAAACTCCAACCCCGATGTGATGATAACTTGCTGTCAAAGATGAACTTTGTGAAACTAAAGGTAGTTGCTGAATGTAGATTATTCGTCAGATAAAATATTCCTGCGTGACTTTATCATAAAAGGCTGGTCAGGGAAGCTAGGTGGGGCTCTGAGGTGCGAAACATGAGCCTGCTCCAGTTTTAGTGGGGGGTAAAGCAGTGGTTAAAGAGCCACTGCAGCTCAGGGAAACCAGCTCAGCAACCTGAACCGTCTCAGTGGACCTGATCAGAAACTGACGCTCCATTATGTGACTGTGATGCCTCTTCAGCTGCACAGTATCCAGTCTGCATGCAGCCACTGGTCTTTATATAGACTGTTTGGATGGCTGGGCTGCAGGTTTTGGTTCAGATGCATGTGAAAGGGTTACCTGACGGTAATCTTTTGTGTTTATTTGGAATGATTTCTTCCGTGATATAAACCAACTATTGTTACGTTTTAAGCTGTTGCTCAACAAAGGCCAAAACTGGAATGCATGTTTACCCTCTGCTCCATCTTCATTTTCCATTTGCTGAAGCGAGTCGCACCTTTTGTTGTTTCAAGTCGTGAGTCATGCATTCTGTGTGGTTCACCCCTCGCTGACATCTCTCCAAATTGGCTTGACATTTTCTTATTATTATGGTTATCATCAGGAGAGGAGAAGCTCTGCCGGATGGGGTGTCTGTGGTTGGAGAAAAGCTCGTTTTCGGACGGCCCGTCCAGTTGAATGACAGTGGGACGTATGAGTGCACGGTGAAGAACACTGTGGGATCTGGAAAAACACAGTTTAGATTGGCTGTATCAGGTAAGACCTGGGAATCTCTTCGCATTGTACCAAATAAAAAAAGACAACAAAATTAGACAGTTTTATCCTATCTAGACTTGTATGAGTTTGCTGCCCCCTTGTGGTGAATCTGTAGTATCTACAGATATAGTTGCATAAGATTTAAAGTATTAAATGTTTTTTCACCTTTAAAGAAAAGTACATACAAGATTGCAATATAAGTTTGCCAATATGTCAGAAAGAAATAAAACAAGGTTTTCAATTTATTTTTGCAAATAGAAATCTGAAAAGTGTGGCATGCATTTGTATTCAAGCCTGTTTATTCTGATACCTGTTAATGAAATCAAATGCCTTCAGAAATCTCCAAATTACTAAACTTTTCTTTAAATTTTGTGTGAATTTAACTATTTGTTGAAAGTGTCTGAGTTTTATTAGAGAACAGAAATGAATAAAAATCATCATGAATTTAAAATAACACATCAGACAGGCCAGGGGGATATTTATGAGAGGTTTTACAGGTTACAAGGTTATATTCAGGTTATATCTCTGACCAAGTAAAATAAAAAAAAGAAGGAAGTATAACATGATTATTTAAAGTTTGGATTAGTTTTTTTGGAGGGTAAATTAACTGCAGTCGCAGCAGAAAGTAATTAATACTTTTAGCACTGTGAATGACTGAGCAGCTGAAGCATCATATCATTTGGCATTACACAACTAAAGCAGGTAAAACCTGCAACATCAGTAGCTGCGTTTCTGTTACAAATGTGCACAAAAGTTTGTCAGTATTTTGATCATGTAAAAAAAAACAACACAATTTTGCAGCTACAGTGTTTCATTTAAATAAGAAACACAATTAAAATCACATGTGAATGACTTTATCCACATGCTAAGAAATTTAAAAAAAATCCAGCCCCATCATCCTCCTCCCACTTCCTGTTGATTTCTTTTTCATGGTTTGCACCAGTAGCAACATCTTGTTTGTCATCATGTGACTTGTGTGCAAAATAAACCAAATTTGAAAAGAATACCTAAAAAAATACTGCAAAATCCAAATCATTTTGGCAAAATAGTTTTTTTTCTGAATTTGCATGTTTCTATTTTGTCAAATTGCACGATTATATGGAACATCAAGCATAGCAACAGCAAAATGTTGAGGGAAAATGGCAGCATCATGCTGGGGGAAAGATGGCTAACCCTATCCCTTACCCCTAAGCCAGTGGTTCCCAAACTTTTTCTCCTGCGCCCCCCCCCCCCCAGTGGTTTCCAAACATTTTCTGGGCCCCCCCTTATGGATTATAAATGGCTGTCTGGTTGAACGACGTGTGGGAGGGGGGGAGAGAGGATTCTTAGAGAATCCCTGTCCCTGTCCCTGGGGTGGGGGGGAGGGAATCGACTTTTTGGGGGGCAAAATGAACATGGACAACATCAGTAGCCTACAGGTTACTAGCTAACAAGATTAAGGTGCTGTATTGGTATTAGCTAGTCATCTTTTAGCTAACATTACCTGCATCCAGCAGCTTTACTCAACTCAGTCGGTTAGTTTTGGAGAAAAACTGTGAAAGGTTCTTTGCGTTTTGCTGGTTTGCTGCCATGATTCTAACACACCTGCTGTGCGTAGCTCCGCACAGCAGCAGCAGGCCTCCTTCACTGCCGCACAGGTATAAACCCTGTGCGAGTGTCGTAGCGTTCATGTTGCGTTTAAAGGTGGCTCGGAAAAACAGGTTACCATATGTTAACAACGGATTAAGCAGTTTTAACTAATGATAAAAGTGACAGAGGACACAGATATGGGAAGTGTGGAAGCCCCGACTGTATCAAATTGACAGAGGAATAACAGAGTTGGCCAGTCTAAGGTTAAAACCGCGTACAGCGCGTACAGCGCGTACAGTGTTCATGTTTTGTTTCATCCAGGCGGCTTCCCGCGCCCCCACTGTAATGGCACGACGCCCCCCCTAGGGGGCGCGCCCCACAGTCTAGTCTATTTCTAGTTGAAGTCTAGAAATAAATCCAACTAAGAATCCGTTCACAGATGATACCAATCAAAGACACAAGGTGGTTCTACAAAGCGTTGAGGAGGCTAGAAACAAATGTTTGCCACATTTTTCTTCACATGTGTTGCTCTGTCCATCTACAATCCTGATAAAGTACATTTCATTGTGTGGCTCCAATGTGAGGAAATATGAAAAAGATCAACCACTACATACACACTGCCAACAGTAAAACACATGGGACATGGGACTCTCTGCTTATGAGCAGAAACGAAGGCAAAACTTGTCATGAACTAGAGGGTTAAAGGCTTTTGACAAACTTATAAGAAGTGAAGCATGTTAATCCATGTCATTCAAGGCCAACAAATCCATTTAAAAAGCTGCAGTGAAAGCAGTAATGATATGTAACGCCCTGAAACCAAATGAATGAGGAGACAGAATGTTATTCCAGTAAAAAATATTATTTAAATTGATTATTTATAAACTACTCAAGCATTTCAGGTTGGATGTAGAGTTTAGAAATGGGGCAATATTTAACAGATTGAGACTAATATCTATTGGTACAAAATAATTTTAGTTAAAAATATGACACTGATTTGTCTTTAATATGTACAGTTTTTCAGAGCAACATTAATCCGAAGCCTGTTTTGAATTTGAATTTATTGTTTTGTCACTGTACACATGTACAATATTAAATAATTTAAATGTATATAAACACACACTGATAAAACTGGTGCAGGTGAGAATTGTTAACCGCTTTGACTTTCTCCTGACAGAGCCGCGGAACCTGCCGCTGCAGAATCTGCCGCAGCAAAGCCTGGTGCTGATTATTGTTTGCGCCGTGGCCGGCGCTTTGTTTCTGGTGCTGCTCGTCGTGATTCTGGTCGTCAAACGCCGCCATCTGAGAAAAACCAAAAAGCTGAAGATGGAGCTCCAGGAAACAAAGTGAGCTGTGCCAGGTTTTCTTTAGTGGAGTGAGAAACTAAATGAGGCTTTCACCTGAAGCTCAAGCGGTGATGACAGATTGGCTGTTAAACGTTTGGTTTCGAGTGCTTAACTTGTCACATTCTCAGACACGCTTTATTCCATAAATCCTCTAAATAGGCTCGTTTTGTTTGTTTTCTTTTCTAGGGACGAAATTAGCACTCTCTCAAGACAAGCCTCCTTCAGGAGACTGAACTCAACCGGCTCAGTTTCACGAATTCAGGTATAAAAAAAACACCTGGTACCTCAGAGATCAGAGACGAACCTCAGGTTGGCACTCGGGTCCGGTTTGGGTGGAGCTGTTTAAGTCCGCAATTACAGTTTGCTGCAGCTTCAAACAAATCAGACTAAACCATGATGGAGTTCTGCTGTACATGAAACTCAGAGTGAATTGCTTTAATTTTCTGCACTTATGTTCACTAATTTTTATATATACTAAATATTTTCTCTATATTTTGCAGCCTGAAGATTATGCCTTACTCAGAGTAGACAGCCGCACTAAATACAGCCAGATGTCTCTGGTGAGTTTGAAAAAAATCTTGATTGGATGAGAAGGAATTAAATCCTGGATTAGCAGGACTCAAAAACGATGTATATTAGTTTCCAATGGATTAGTTACGTTTTAGAGAATGAAATGGTTTGTAAATCACTTAATAATTACACTTCACAGAAAATGCAAAGACAAGCACACATGAGGAAGGAGGAGAAAAGAATCTAAAAATCTCTTTAAGATGGAGAGAAAATCAAGAAATTAGTTTAAAAAATGCAAAATCAAAAGTGCAGTTCCACTGGAAGATTTTTTTCCACTTATAAAATGGGGAAAATGTCTTGTTTTAAGTGAAAAAAAATATGCCATCGGGACTAGAAGTTTTTAATCAATATTAAGGAATTATTGACGTAAAACAAACCAGTATATCACGCTGAAAAGTTACTTGTAGATTAGTTTTATCTTAATTTACGTGTAAAAAGATATTTGTAGACCAAAAATACTTGGTAAGATTCTGTTTTTGTAGTGCAAACAGCATCATGAATACAGTAAATCAGCCTGAAATACAATAGTGGGAATATTTAAAGCAGGTTTTAACCATTTGTAAATATGCACTATATTTGTGTTGGTCTAATTTACTAAATTTTAATAAAATACATTAAACTTTGTGGCTTTAACATGACAAAATGTCAAGCTTAAGACAAATAAATACTTCTCCAGGTTGCTGGATGTTTACTAAAAAACTTCCACCTCCCTGTTTTGCAGGAGCCCTCCCACTATCACGGCAGCCAGTCCACTCTGGGTGGGAGGTGGGGACCCACAGTAGAGGTGCCACGGGACGAATACGGGCGTCCCGTCGTCTGGACCGAAGACAGAGAGTGCCTGAGAGCCGTAGAGATGAACAGGGAGAAGGAGGAGCGCAGGAAACGGGTGGAGTCGTTTGTGAAGAACAGCAACATGTCGCTGGTATGCGTCAGCGCCTGAGTGGCTAGGCGTGATGTAGCTTTGTTTGCAATGTGATGGTTTGTTTATGTTTTCAATGTGGTTTCATAGAGATGGAGGAGAAACAGAAACAAACAAAAACTGGTAGTCAGATTTTTTTTTTCCTGTGGAGGAAACTGAGTCCACTTTTCTTTTTAGGAGAAATTAAATTGAGCTACAGCGTGGTTTTCAAGTCTCTTTAGGTCAAACTTTCACTTTGTAAGTGACATTGCTTGCTAATGTGCTTTTGATTTTTTCTTTTTTTGCGACATTTTAAAAGCTTGCTCACTACTTGAGTGGCAATTCAATGGAAACAGCTGTTGACTTTGCTTCTCATCTGTTTTTACATTTCTTTATATCTGGGCATGATGGTGTTGCTTTTGAGATCTTTAGTCTTCTTCATGTTGCCCAACAGCATCTATTAAAGTTTAATTACACTGGTCAGGCAGTAGTCAGGCCTGGTGTGTGACTAGTGGAACTGAATCAGAAAATGTGGTGAATCACAGTTAATTCATTAGCAATGAGAACGACTAAAAGCACAAGAAACTAGAAATGCAACCAGTTATAACGGGTTCCTCACCTGATGAACTGTGATTTTCACAGTCAAGCTAAGCTGTGTCTTTTCATCACTTCCTTTAAGCAGAAGAAATAATAGAACTAATGGAACAAATGTAACTTGTTTTGCTTTTTCCTTCAGGATTCAGGCCTTCCTTCATCACTGGTTCCCCTGAAGGTCCAGCAGGACGATGGTAACGGTCATAAAGAGTCGGACCTGGGTCACCTACAGGAAGACGACTCGGTCGTTGAATCCTCCACAACAGAGGAACATGAGGATGACGAAGGGAGACGTCGGCATCATCTTGAGGGAACTCTCAGTAAAATGTTTTATGAAAGCAATGGGGTCCTCAGGCCCAGAGAGAATCCCAACGCCATTCTCCTGCCCAGCCAAAATTATTACAAACCACAACTTATCTAAACCTCTGACTTTCTTCCATAACTGGAAATGAGAAAAGCCTGTCAGCATTTCTGCTCTGACAGAGACTTTTATTTTGAAAAAACAAAGTATTTAACTACTATGGACAGAATGCCAACAAAGACTATTTTATTTGTTTTTTGACCTCCTAAACTTCTATTCTTACTTTGCAATAACAAGAACCTTTTAAAATATTTTGGGGATATTTTTGTGCCATTTACTAAAAGAAGAGAGCTTCCTCGACTCTGGAATCATTGAATCTTCGAAGATCTACAGAAACTGGAGACGTTTCCTCTAATTAAATTTAGAGGTCCATGAATGGGCATCATAATTTGGAAATAATAGCATGAGGCCAACCGGTAGGTGTGGGAACCTTNTTGAAGTCTAGAAATAAATCCAACTAAGAATCCGTTCACAGATGATACCAATCAAAGACACAAGGTGGTTCTACAAAGCGTTGAGGAGGCTAGAAACAAATGTTTGCCACATTTTTCTTCACATGTGTTGCTCTGTCCATCTACAATCCTGATAAAGTACATTTCATTGTGTGGCTCCAATGTGAGGAAATATGAAAAAGATCAACCACTACATACACACTGCCAACAGTAAAACACATGGGACATGGGACTCTCTGCTTATGAGCAGAAACGAAGGCAAAACTTGTCATGAACTAGAGGGTTAAAGGCTTTTGACAAACTTATAAGAAGTGAAGCATGTTAATCCATGTCATTCAAGGCCAACAAATCCATTTAAAAAGCTGCAGTGAAAGCAGTAATGATATGTAACGCCCTGAAACCAAATGAATGAGGAGACAGAATGTTATTCCAGTAAAAAATATTATTTAAATTGATTATTTATAAACTACTCAAGCATTTCAGGTTGGATGTAGAGTTTAGAAATGGGGCAATATTTAACAGATTGAGACTAATATCTATTGGTACAAAATAATTTTAGTTAAAAATATGACACTGATTTGTCTTTAATATGTACAGTTTTTCAGAGCAACATTAATCCGAAGCCTGTTTTGAATTTGAATTTATTGTTTTGTCACTGTACACATGTACAATATTAAATAATTTAAATGTATATAAACACACACTGATAAAACTGGTGCAGGTGAGAATTGTTAACCGCTTTGACTTTCTCCTGACAGAGCCGCGGAACCTGCCGCTGCAGAATCTGCCGCAGCAAAGCCTGGTGCTGATTATTGTTTGCGCCGTGGCCGGCGCTTTGTTTCTGGTGCTGCTCGTCGTGATTCTGGTCGTCAAACGCCGCCATCTGAGAAAAACCAAAAAGCTGAAGATGGAGCTCCAGGAAACAAAGTGAGCTGTGCCAGGTTTTCTTTAGTGGAGTGAGAAACTAAATGAGGCTTTCACCTGAAGCTCAAGCGGTGATGACAGATTGGCTGTTAAACGTTTGGTTTCGAGTGCTTAACTTGTCACATTCTCAGACACGCTTTATTCCATAAATCCTCTAAATAGGCTCGTTTTGTTTGTTTTCTTTTCTAGGGACGAAATTAGCACTCTCTCAAGACAAGCCTCCTTCAGGAGACTGAACTCAACCGGCTCAGTTTCACGAATTCAGGTATAAAAAAAACACCTGGTACCTCAGAGATCAGAGACGAACCTCAGGTTGGCACTCGGGTCCGGTTTGGGTGGAGCTGTTTAAGTCCGCAATTACAGTTTGCTGCAGCTTCAAACAAATCAGACTAAACCATGATGGAGTTCTGCTGTACATGAAACTCAGAGTGAATTGCTTTAATTTTCTGCACTTATGTTCACTAATTTTTATATATACTAAATATTTTCTCTATATTTTGCAGCCTGAAGATTATGCCTTACTCAGAGTAGACAGCCGCACTAAATACAGCCAGATGTCTCTGGTGAGTTTGAAAAAAATCTTGATTGGATGAGAAGGAATTAAATCCTGGATTAGCAGGACTCAAAAACGATGTATATTAGTTTCCAATGGATTAGTTACGTTTTAGAGAATGAAATGGTTTGTAAATCACTTAATAATTACACTTCACAGAAAATGCAAAGACAAGCACACATGAGGAAGGAGGAGAAAAGAATCTAAAAATCTCTTTAAGATGGAGAGAAAATCAAGAAATTAGTTTAAAAAATGCAAAATCAAAAGTGCAGTTCCACTGGAAGATTTTTTTCCACTTATAAAATGGGGAAAATGTCTTGTTTTAAGTGAAAAAAAATATGCCATCGGGACTAGAAGTTTTTAATCAATATTAAGGAATTATTGACGTAAAACAAACCAGTATATCACGCTGAAAAGTTACTTGTAGATTAGTTTTATCTTAATTTACGTGTAAAAAGATATTTGTAGACCAAAAATACTTGGTAAGATTCTGTTTTTGTAGTGCAAACAGCATCATGAATACAGTAAATCAGCCTGAAATACAATAGTGGGAATATTTAAAGCAGGTTTTAACCATTTGTAAATATGCACTATATTTGTGTTGGTCTAATTTACTAAATTTTAATAAAATACATTAAACTTTGTGGCTTTAACATGACAAAATGTCAAGCTTAAGACAAATAAATACTTCTCCAGGTTGCTGGATGTTTACTAAAAAACTTCCACCTCCCTGTTTTGCAGGAGCCCTCCCACTATCACGGCAGCCAGTCCACTCTGGGTGGGAGGTGGGGACCCACAGTAGAGGTGCCACGGGACGAATACGGGCGTCCCGTCGTCTGGACCGAAGACAGAGAGTGCCTGAGAGCCGTAGAGATGAACAGGGAGAAGGAGGAGCGCAGGAAACGGGTGGAGTCGTTTGTGAAGAACAGCAACATGTCGCTGGTATGCGTCAGCGCCTGAGTGGCTAGGCGTGATGTAGCTTTGTTTGCAATGTGATGGTTTGTTTATGTTTTCAATGTGGTTTCATAGAGATGGAGGAGAAACAGAAACAAACAAAAACTGGTAGTCAGATTTTTTTTTTCCTGTGGAGGAAACTGAGTCCACTTTTCTTTTTAGGAGAAATTAAATTGAGCTACAGCGTGGTTTTCAAGTCTCTTTAGGTCAAACTTTCACTTTGTAAGTGACATTGCTTGCTAATGTGCTTTTGATTTTTTCTTTTTTTGCGACATTTTAAAAGCTTGCTCACTACTTGAGTGGCAATTCAATGGAAACAGCTGTTGACTTTGCTTCTCATCTGTTTTTACATTTCTTTATATCTGGGCATGATGGTGTTGCTTTTGAGATCTTTAGTCTTCTTCATGTTGCCCAACAGCATCTATTAAAGTTTAATTACACTGGTCAGGCAGTAGTCAGGCCTGGTGTGTGACTAGTGGAACTGAATCAGAAAATGTGGTGAATCACAGTTAATTCATTAGCAATGAGAACGACTAAAAGCACAAGAAACTAGAAATGCAACCAGTTATAACGGGTTCCTCACCTGATGAACTGTGATTTTCACAGTCAAGCTAAGCTGTGTCTTTTCATCACTTCCTTTAAGCAGAAGAAATAATAGAACTAATGGAACAAATGTAACTTGTTTTGCTTTTTCCTTCAGGATTCAGGCCTTCCTTCATCACTGGTTCCCCTGAAGGTCCAGCAGGACGATGGTAACGGTCATAAAGAGTCGGACCTGGGTCACCTACAGGAAGACGACTCGGTCGTTGAATCCTCCACAACAGAGGAACATGAGGATGACGAAGGGAGACGTCGGCATCATCTTGAGGGAACTCTCAGTAAAATGTTTTATGAAAGCAATGGGGTCCTCAGGCCCAGAGAGAATCCCAACGCCATTCTCCTGCCCAGCCAAAATTATTACAAACCACAACTTATCTAAACCTCTGACTTTCTTCCATAACTGGAAATGAGAAAAGCCTGTCAGCATTTCTGCTCTGACAGAGACTTTTATTTTGAAAAAACAAAGTATTTAACTACTATGGACAGAATGCCAACAAAGACTATTTTATTTGTTTTTTGACCTCCTAAACTTCTATTCTTACTTTGCAATAACAAGAACCTTTTAAAATATTTTGGGGATATTTTTGTGCCATTTACTAAAAGAAGAGAGCTTCCTCGACTCTGGAACCATTGAATATTCGAAGATCTACAGAAACTGGAGACGTTTCCTCTAATTAAATTTAGAGGTCCATGAATGGGCATCATAATTTGGAAATAATAGCATGAGGCCAACCGGTAGGTGTGGGAACCTTGGTGCGCACCCTCTGGTGTCCAGTTCAATGTGCCAGCTATAAACCTAGCTTCATTTGTCTGTACTGTCAATTTTACTTGTACATAAAAACCGTATTTAAAATAAACAAACCACGTTTAGCCTGGTGGGAGCAAGTTAAGCCTGGTGGCCTGCCAGGCTTATAATAAATACACCAGGGGAAACCTTGCAGTACCTTAGTGCCTGAAATGCAATATTAGTGTGTATTTCTAATAAGAACTAACCTTGACATCAGTGGTAGTTTATGTGAGCAAAATGGCTCTTTGTCCAGAGCGTCATAGCAGCATGGGGCAGCACCGACACTCCAGAGAGAGAAAAGAAACAGTTATGTCAGTTTTACCTCCAACAAGTTTTCTATTGGTTATTTTCATGTTTAGTAAATGGGAATTGGGCTCTTTCTTATGTTTTACACAATGAAGGCACTGCAGTCAAAATGGCCGAGCACAAGAAGTGGATGATTAAATGGCTAAAAGTTAAAAGGTTTATTAAATTATTTATCAAGGAAGCTGGAATATTTAATTTGCTCTGATCTAGAATCTGAACCGTTAGTGGCCAAACTTGAGCTGGATTGTTCTACGCAGATTAAAGATTTGCTAAAACATAATTTTAGGTTTATTATTCTGTTCCTCTATTCCAAAATTTGGGATTTCTTATACTTTCTATAAGTAGGTTGATTTTTCGCCCCGCTCATTGACTGGTTCAATGTTTCCGACCAGATCTAGCTGAAAATCAATAAGCACTTAAAAACTATTACATTTACCTAGAGTTAAATGTGTTTTTCACTTACGTCTTTGCATCAAAATGAAAATAATATTAAAAATAGGTGGGATTTATGTAAAAAAATAAAGTAATATTAGAGTAATTTTAGCAGAAGTTGGAGTAATTATTGCTTTTCTGTTTTAAACTAAAACAGAGACAATGTTTTACTTTTTTTGTGTAAATACTCAGATATGATAATCTCATGCTGGCCCAAGCCTATAGAGTTTACTATACTTAGTCTTACATAAACTACATTTTTCAATGTATATATTTTGCTAGATTTATATGATCTTTATTGTTTTTCTACGGGTCAAACGGGTTTTGCAGCTCGACAAATTTTACTCATTAAAAAGTCTTTCTTCATTTATGTACAGGATGCATTTTCCCCTGCAGAACAAAAGCAGTGTTACTCACGTTACTATCTGTGGCCATATTGTTATGGCTCACAGGTGTGGCTACATGTGAAACATCAACAGCTACCTGCAGGAACTAAAGCGTAAAGGGAGGAACTGTGATAAAAATGAACACATTTGAAGAAAACTGGCTAAAATGTGGATTTTATTGGACAAAACTGGACTGTAAATGATCACTGATGAGCAGCTGGATGAACTGGACATTTTATTTTGTATGAAGAAACTCTGTTGAACATATTGAGTATTGTTTGTATATGTGTTTTATTGTAAGGAAGTCAAATGTAAATAACTAAGATTTTATTATTAAAATTACAGCATATGGGATTTTAAAAGCAGTCATTGAGAGGCTGTTGAGGTTTATTATGGTTCTGACTTTCATGTATTAATGTTTTCTTTTTCCAGTGATGGGAAAATTAAGCTGTGGTTATAAAGGGACGATGAGAAACGTGAAGGTACACCCAGGAGGCAAAAGTTATTGTTTCGCCCAGGAGATTATATGCTTGGCTGCAGGTTGGGCTGGGAATAAAGCAGGAATAAAGCAGAGAAGATGAACCAGAACAGCTGCTTAGCTGGGTGTAAAAATATAAATAGATGAGTTTCAAACTTCCAAGAAGCTCATTACCGTAAAGGTAATGAGCTTGGCTTAATTTGACACAAAGCTGAAAAGTTTGTTGTAAAATAAAGTTTGTTAAAAAAGAAAGAAAAATTGACATTGGAAAAAAACTTGAAACTGAAAAATTATTTTGAAATTGAAAAAAAGATTGAAACTGACAAAATCTGAAACTGAAAATACCCCTGGAACACAAAAAGCAATTTTAAACATTGTTTTCAACTTCATATTCCTTTTTCAGTTTCAAATTTTATTTTCAATTTCAAATCTTTTTTTCAGTTTTAAATCTTTTAGATTTAATGTTTGTTTCAATTTTTTTCAGTGTATTTTTTTTTCGTCATTTAAACAAACTTTATGGCCTCAATTTACCCCCATACATTTTTAGTTTTATGGCGAAGTTCTGCTCTAATTCAGGACATTTCAGGAATCCCTCAAACCTGACTGATCAGTGAATTGATAAGTGCAGCACTGATAATTTCCAATACATTTACTGATTAACATAAGAAATGCCTTTACAACCACTTGTTCTTAAACTGCTAAACTGTGGGCGACCAAAAATTTACTTCTAGCTAACTTTTGAAGAACAACACAAATCTGTCTTTGGGTTAAGAAACTATGATAATTTTTGAAAAAATCTAAAATAAATTGTAAAACTATTTCAGCTAAAGTTGTGCAGTTTGCACCAAGAATGACCTAGAGCTTTCTGCATGTTCTCCCTGTGCATTTGTGGGTTTTCTCTGGATACTCTCACAGTCCAAAAAATGTTAGGTTATTTGGCTTCCCTAAACTGGCTTTAAGAGTGTGTGTGTGTGTGTGTTTATGTGTGTGTCCATATTCACTTTACTGGTTAAATGAAAAATCTCCAAAGTTAGACCATTTTTTTATTTGATTAATAGTCTAAATAAATTACAAAAATAATTAGTTATAACCCCAAAATGTTTTTCTTAATGAATAAAACGGATGGATATTCAATCACAATAAAATAATTAGTTTTTGTCCTCAAATCCTAAGTTGGTATTGTAAAACCGCTCCACAGTAAAAATTAGCTACAGTATTCCAGTAATATGAAAACACAGTAAATTCTAGCTTTCATCGTCTTCTCTGTATTTGAATTAAAACGTTTTAAGAAAGAGCCTCCTTGTGAGTTCGTTGATGAGTGCGTAGGTTACTCCTCTGGGAAAAACTCTTGCCACACATTTCACACGTGTACGGTTTCTCCCCGGTGTGAATTCGCTGGTGGATCTGCAGGTGGCTGACGCGGTCGAAGCTTTTACCGCAGAACGGGCAGATGTACCATTTCTCCTTGATGCGTCGACTTGCTGCAGTTTTATGCAACTCCGGCTCATTTAAAGCAAACAGACTCCTGTCGGGGTTGAAAGCTGACGTGTTTTTAGTTCGCCATTGTTTTTCTAAAAAGAACCCAACAGCTGTTTCTCTTTCTGCATGGTGTGATGTTTGCTGACTTGGCTGTGATTGGCTGAAAGTCAGGGGAGCGCTGGATTTACTTGAAGCACCTTGAAGCGTCCTGCTGTCCCTCGCGAGCCGATCAGAATGAGCAGCCTCCGCTGAGTTATCGAAGATGTCCAGAGAGTTTTGAATAAGTAAGATTTCTGAGTCCAGATTGTGTGAAAGATGGTTTGGTTCAAAGAAGCAGTCAGAATCATCCTCCGTGTCGCTGTCTCCCACTGAAACAGACACCCAGTGCTGGGTCTCTTGTTCTGGTGCTGCTTCAGCACATCGTTGGAGCCGTTCATGGTGACCCACTGTGCTGCTTCTGGGATTCAAATCCACTTCCTGCTCCACAATCTCAACGTCATCATCCTCTTCCAGCTTCACTACAAATTCCTCATCATCTCTATCTTCGGATTCACAGAGATCTGACTTACGTTGCTTTGCAGCATTCTCCTTTTCTTCCATCTGAACAGGTAGCAGAGCTTCATTATTCCCTGAAGAGTCTGCTTTATCCCGAACGCTCTGATCTGAAGGCAGTGTCTGCACTGATTCTACTGAAAGCCCTGAAATAAAAAAAAGAAAAAGTCATCTTAATGAGAATGAAATGTAAAAGGGAGTCATCTTATTAAGTTTAAGCAACAAAATGAATAATCAACAAATTAAATCAGTTGTACCAGCAACCTGTATATTACAAGAAAATTAATTATCATGTATAGAGCATGTGTTAAACTGTTTCTCACATGAAAAATCCAGATGCATCTAAATAAATTCACTGCAAGTTTAATTTCAGTATTCCAAATCAAAACTGAAGTTTATTTCATTACAACAGAGTGATATACTTCAAGCATTTATGTATGTTAAACTGAATGGCTTACAACTAATAAAAACTCAAAATCTGAATATTACATAAATGCAACAAAATATGAATTTGTAATACAGAAATATCAGTGAATGGAATTACTGAAGTAGGTTAATACAAGTTACATGACTACTAAAATAAATTAAGATTGTTTTAATTCATTGAGCTACAACTGCTCTTACTGTGGTAGCCACAATATTCTGTAATTAAAAAGTGAGTACATAAAATTCCTTGTCATGCATATAGCTGCAATTGCAGAAATATTTTGGGGCCATTATAAAAAGATTTCTGACTTTAATCTAAGCATTTAGAGGCAGAATACTTGGATTTTTCCAATGGTCCATCCAGTGTTTTAGCTGCTGTTCCTACCTTCGCCGGCAGGTGGCGGCAGATTATTTTGCTGCTCTCTCCTTGGTAAAGATGTGGACTTTGCTGCTTGAGAAAGAGCCGTTAAACGCTCGTTTTCCATTGATACCAGCTTTCTGTTCAGGGCTTTGATTTCGCTCTCCCTCCGAAGAAGCTCCACTTGAACCACAGCGAAACCCTCCTCCCACAGCTTGCTGATTTCCATAACAGCCGCTTTAGCCAGCATCTCCATTATGGAGGTTAGCTTGCTCTGGAAAGCCACACAGTTGTTGTTGTTGCTGCTGCTGCTGCTGCTGTTAGCCATGTTGCTTCGGTTCGCTGGCTAAAGCAACGCCAGTAGGGTTTTACAGGACTTTTATATGCGACAACAAATCCAACAGCAGCAGAAGTTCTCACCTTAAAAGTTCACATTTACTGATTTGAGGCCAAACCATGGATGTGTAATACAATAGAAACAGGAAACGGTCATTAATCACGTGATAAGGATATTCGGCGCTCTTGATTGGCTACAATTTTCTGACCAGGAAAACATTATGAAAGCCAATAGTGCTTCCCATGTCTGTCCACTAGGTGGGGCTGCATTTCCATCTTATTGAAAACAATGTTTTACAAAGAAAAATAATTTTCAGATATATCATTTGTACCTAAGTGTTTTAAACACACAAACAATGACAAATCTTATTCAAATTCCAAATCCAAAATATTTTGTCAACTCCAAAGGAAAATTAACTGTTGTTTTAACTCATATTAATTCAAATTCCTCAAAGAGTTATTGTAGATGGTGTTGACATGTAATGCATGCAGTATACTTGCAACCTAATTACTAGTCTGGAAGGTCACATAATGTTTTACTGCCATTTACCAAAGTTCACTTCTCTCTACTTTAGTGAAGACGTCAACTATTGGCTCTAAAAAGAACTACTCGTCAATCAGTCTATTTATAGAGCGCCTTTAATATGTACAATGTAAGTAACAACAACGAGCATGGTAATAATAAAAACAATGAGTTTAACACGACTAAACATGAAAAAGCAAACTCTGAAAAAAAAATTATAGCTACAGACTGTTTTAATGGTAATGAGCCAGAAGAAGCAGATGTAACACATCTAAGTATAGATTCTAATATTAAGATTAGAGTTACAACTGTCCCTCACAAATAACAAACTAACTAACTAGAAACGTTATTCTGCATTGTACAACGCAGGTATAAATATATATATGGACGGAAAGTTGGAAAATATTCAACTAACAGTGTCTCCCTAATCTTTTAACCAAATTAACTCCCGCTATTTAAACCTTAATTAGCACATTTCCAACTTCTAGCGCGACAAAGCAGCTCGTACGCTGATTGGCTGACAGACGTGCCCTTCCAAAGTGGGCGGAGTCAGAGCAGGGAGACGACGGAGCTGTCAAACACCGACAGTCGTTTGAAATATTATCAGAGGAGCGGATAACAAAACCGCAACACTTTACCAATGTGTAGACTAATTAACGACAGGAGCAAAGTGTTAGATTTTGGTGTTCAACCGCTGGATAAAAGGACTTCTAAGCCGTTGTTGGGAGCAACTTGTTGTTAAGTGCGTGTTTTGCAGGCTCTCCCTCTCAGGCTAATGTGTGTTAGCTCTTCGCTCCGCTTCAGTTTTGTTGACAAAACTAGCCCATTCGCTATCGTTGAGCTAGCTGCCGTGTTTCGGAGTTAGCTCGTCATTTTCTCAGAAATGTATCCGGGTACAGGCATGGAGCCCAGCCCGGACTGTTCCTGGAAACTCCTCCGTGAAATAAGACTAGGTGAGTAAAACTTTGAACACTAACAGGGGAAAACCTTAATAATGGCCACTGCCTCTGGTATTTGTTTACATTTTCCCTCCGAAGTTTGTATTATACGTTTAGCAAATTAACCGAAGTCAATCTAGCGGTGTATGTATTTTACCCACTTGTATAATTGCTGTCATTTACATCCAGGTAGTGACAGGTTTTTACTACACGCCCCGTTAGTTTGTTCATTACTTGTAAGCCATTGAAGATTGACTGGCATGCACACACTTACACATAATGGATGTTTACCACAGTTGATTGCGGTCAGATATCAGACTGCTTTGCTTTTTTGTTTTGTGTGACCTCGCTAAAATGTTTTGCTATTGTTGATTTATGTGTACAGAAGGAACATCTAAAAGATCACTTAAATGTTTAGTGTTTTGCAGACATTGTATGAGGAGAGACAAAAACGCCAAGTGATCAAATTCACTTGGTCACTTGAAAAGACCAAGTGAATTTGGTCTTTTTAAACCAAATTCACTTGATTTATAAAGCACATTTAAAACAAGAAATTTGATTACAGTATTGTTCAGTAATAGAAAAAAATTTACTTATTGCAAAAAAGGCTGAGACACTAGTAATTACAAGGAAACCTAGTGGGAATTAATGTATTTTAAGCAGTTTGTTTTCAAAGTTTGCACTGCTACTGACTAATCCTCAAAGTGTTTGGCATCCCTTTGTAGAAACAGCTGCCATGAAGTGTTGGGATAACTGTTAATGAATATTTTTGCATCACTGTGGAGGAGTTCTGCCCCACTCTTAGTTGCAGAATCGTTTTGATTTGGCTACATTGAAGGGTTTTTAAGCATTTATGCTTGTTTAAGGTCATGCCACATCTTCTCAATCAGATTTAAGTACAGACTTTGACTAGGACACTCTAAAACATTGTATTTCTGAGGTGGACTTGCTTGTGTGCCGTTTCCTGCTGCTCAACCAAAGTGCAGAGCAGCCCCATACCATCACACCACCACCACTGTGTTTCACAGGTCAATATGACCGTTTTCTGAAATGCTATATTGGTTTTATGTCACATTCATCAGGAAACACACCTTCATAAAAAGACACACTTCTGACTCATTGGTCTACAAAACAGTTTTTTGAAAAGTCTTGGAGGTGATTAAGAAGGTTTTGGTAAAAGTGAGAAATGTCCTTGTGTAAGTTTTAACTTTTAGATGAATACCAATCAGTCTGCTAGTTATTGTTAAACCACAACGACTGACCTTGATAGAACTTGGTGAGGCATGCAGTTCTTTACATAAGTTAGTGTTGGAGTAATTTTGTTTGGGCGGCCAGGCCATTTATGGGGTGGTTCAATACTGTTCCATGTGTTTTCCATTTGCGGATAATGGCTCTCGCTGCACTTCACTGGATTCCCAAAGCCATAGAAATAGTTTTGTCACTTGTTTATTGTCCAGGTCTGGCAGTAATAAAACCTGATTGTGTGTCAGAAAAAGTAACTGTGAAGGGGGGCATTTATTTTATTTACACTCTTAATGAATAAAATAATTTTAAACTCTGTTCTGTATTTACACTGCTCATTACCTTTGCTTGTTACTACAAGTTGCTTGATGATTTGATACATTCAGGTTGGACAGAAAAACAAAAATCAGATGACATCACAGTGCCATAGCGTGAATCAAATTGGTCCCAAGAGGGGTCCTTGAGGAACACCAGAATTAACAGCTATTTCCTGAAACCTTACTGGAAATGTCTGGTAATTTAGAATTAAACTAGTTAAGTTTATACATCCAGAAATTTCAGAAGAAATGGCAGCTGGGAGATTGGCCTGCAGTTATTTAAATCTTTGCAGTGACATTAAACTATTTGCTGCAACCTTCACATCATAACATCACTTATCTTTTGATTTATTGATGACATGTCCCATTAGCCTGTAATCCACTAGGACACAGCTGGATAACTGGATAGCTGTTCAGCGCCCTTCTCCAACCGCTCCTACAGTATTCGGCCTGAGGCTGCTTTGGTGTTATGCCCCATCTGTTTTGAAGTAGCAACAGGCCACATTTTACACACAGGAAAAAAAGCCAGACTTTTAAATTTCCTCCCAGTGTCCCTTTAGTGTGGTATTCTAAATGCATACCATTGGAATACGAAGCCAGCAGGGTATAGTTTGGAAACAAATATAGTAATCAACATGGGTGGTTTTTGCCTATATGTGTATTTTAGCACTTGAAATGTCATTGAGGGTTACTATAGATGTAAAAAAAATATACACATATGAGATATACGAGCTTATTTTGCTTGTTTATTTCATGATATGAATTCCTCATCACTGGATCTTTGCCAGTAAGGAAAATGCGAAAACTTTCCCTGTGATTCTTGCGACTCTGTATTGCAGGGGTCTGTGGAGCTGCATGCGGCTCTTCGGACCCTCATTGGTAGCTTTTAATAACTTGGTGGAAAATATCATAGAACTGAGCAGAGTTTGTGTACATAAAGCTAAAAAAAAGGCTACGCTTAATAGCTCTTAAGGAAATATTTGGATAGAATTTGCACAACAGAATGGCACCAAAAGTTCAAGGAATACTTTTAGTAAATTAGTGTTTTTGTTATTGGGCTTGTTTTTCAATTTTTGGATCAATATGGAGCATTTATTCAAGAAATCCATCTGTTCTCTTCTTGTAAAAGTTTGATGTTATTCTTGGTTTTAAAAATAAAAAGTTTGTTTCTTCAATGTCAATAGTGAGATAATCAACTTTATAGAGTACTTATTTATTGCACTTACATTATAGGTCTAGAAAAATATGGTTTTTGTAGGAGGAAAGCTAAATGACTCTCTGGATTGTAAAAATCATCTACACAGTTATTTATCCAAAACAGTTATTTATCCAAATGTAGCCATTCATTTTTCTCTGCTACTTGTGTAAAACATCACATCTAAAACTATAGTGAGATAAAAGTATTGATGGTGATTATTGGTGCCAATATGAAAATCTTTTAAAAACAGATATTTAAACTTGAAGAGGAAAAAAGTACAAATTTCCTTCAAACCTAGACTGTTGTCACAAACAAAACATCTTATCTCTTATCTGTCTCTCAGTGGGTTTGTTTACTTTCAGATCAACAAAGAAGCTATTGACCTTAACATAAAAACGTATGATCAGATGTTTACCTAAAGTTGCAGCGTCTTAAAAATGTAAATGTATTCTAACTTTTCTAGCTTCTGCACAACAACACAACGCTTGGTTGAACTTATTACTTACTTATGCCTGGTTCACATAGCAAAATTTAAAAATTGTCAATTGATTTTCTAAACATGACACACAGACTTCACTCACCAAAATTACCATGTCATATGGAAAATCCTGCAAAACCTCTTGAGCGCAAACAAAAGATTAGAGTAAGTAAACATGGCAGACGAGGAAGAAGCAACGGTAATTGTTTGGGGACTATTTTAAATGGAACAAAAACAAGACAAAAAGACGACTCTGACGTCTACCGGACTTTCTGGTGTGTCGTTTGAGCAGTCCGAATGGACCAGACCACTCTGACCACTCCATGTACGGCAGGAATATCTCCTGAAATGATCTTTAGAGCCATCACAATTACCAGAATGTCTTTCAGAAAGGGAAGATCGGGTCAAAAATCAGCATAATTATCTTGTCCTTATTTAAGGGTATTGGAGTATATGTTGCTGAACACAAATGCACACTTTTCAGATTTGTAGTTGCAAAAATTAAAGCAAGTTTCAGTTTATCACTTTACATGTGCTGACAGCTATCACATATATGTTTCTTTCTATTAGTCTCACAAATGAAATCCCAGTGCAGTACTTTGAAGTTTGTAGTTTCTATGAAGCCACTGTACATAAAACATACTGCAGAATGATCCAATTAGTGGTTCTTTTGGCCCATAAACTGTCGTTCTGCATTTATATATCTGTCAGAAGTCAGAGCTTTACTTTAACGTGTTGTTGTTGCTCACAGCCGCCCCTGCTCTGCAGTGATTCTGCTGGAGCCCAAGACGGCACGCTGAGGTCAGTGTTTTGTAAGATGCTGCAAAAACCTCTGGTCTGCAAAACAGCATGATGGAAAGTCTAAATAGCACCAGCATTCTCTGCATAGCTTAATTGGATTGTTGCTCTATTTATATACAACCTGATAATGGTAACAAAAGGGCTGCTTGCATGTCAGTTTCTTTTGCAAAATTATTTTCAGATTCAATTCAGCTTAGTATAGACAAACGCAGTTTGAATTTCAAGTGTTTATTAAGGGGTTACTTTTAAAAAGCAGTTTCTTCAAAACTGAAGTAATCCTTATTTAAGGATATTTTTTTTACCTTCTACAGTAGGTATGAGATGGTATGAGATTCTTACCAAATTGTACTTTTGTAGTAGAAATACCACAGCTTCTCAGTATTATGGTATTTAAACAGTGGTGTCCCTAAGAGGGGGGCAGAAGGGGCATGGCTCCCTCTTGAAAAATGCTCGCCATCCTACTTTGCTGCCCTGAAAGTGATGTTCATTTTATAGAAAGGCATACAACTTCATCATCTTCAATGAAGACATAAATGTAAAACCCAATAAATAAATAAATAATAATGTTGGCCATGCCTATGAACATTTTCTAGGAGTGCCACTATATTAAATATATAATTTTTTTCTTTTTCTGTTTTCTGTTTCATAAATTGCCTTTTTATGAAACAGAAAACCAACCAAATATATATTTTTTTATATTTATGTGTTTTTTTATTGTTGTTTAGATTTTTATATTTAGAAATATAGACAAAACCATGATCGCTTAACATGCATAGCTTCCCACTCTAGTTTTAAAGTAGTGTGACACTTTAAAAGATTGATAGGTTGTGTCCCACAGGATGATGCTGTCACCACCATGTTTTGTCTTTTGTTTTTTACACCATAACTGTCTTGCTTTTCTTTGCAATCAGTAATATTTACAGACATTTTCTTTCCTGTCAACAAGGGAAAAGTGCAGTGTCCCTCCCTCACCACAGAAACGGGGGCAACAAAAAGAGGAAAATTCTGTTTATTCCATCTCATTATAATGATTTTAAACTGTAGCTACAATATGATGGTAAATTTTATTGGTTTGTAAGTTTTAGAAACTTGAATAACTTGATGCAGATAGTGTTTCCAAGCCTAAGCTGCAGTTTAATAAGCAGTGATGGGTGGACTTGCAGGAATCAACATTCAAACTTGTGCTCATGTTTGGTAAAAAAGGGTAGAGCACTTGATGAGGGGGTGTGAAAACAAAATCTCTTACTGGCTGCTGCTCTCTGTTATGAATAACGACTGAGCTAATGTTCTACTTGCTGACCTATTCTCGTCGACTTGCTCACTTCCTCACTAAAAGTGTCTCTGCTTTTGCATCTGGATTGAAGCCTTTCGGAAAATAGGCAGGAAAGTTCATGCCTGGTACTTTGGGCTTGCGTTTGTCTTGGCACAGGCAAAAACTGTTGTTTTTTCTGCTGTGCCATATTAACAGGGCATAGAATGAAGTGTCATTGATAAAATAAATACTTTAAAAAAAGACAGAGGAGGTTGAAAATCCTTTTTAGGGCATGCCTGGGACAGAAATGGGTCTCTCAAGCCATCCAGCTGGTCTGCAGCAACAATCCTAGTTTGTATGTTTCTGTTGATGTGTTCAAATTTTTATAAAACTCACTTAAAATCTTGGGTTTCTACATGTATTCATTCTTATATCATTAAGATGAATCTGTTATATTTTCCTCCTTTTCTTTTCTTCACACACTGTTTTGCAGCAAAGTTGAACTTTACATGATTGTTTACCTTTTCTAAATTAAGAAGATAAGCAACTGAGTGGCAGGCCAAGTAGAAGGCCGTTCCTGGCAGAACGGTTCAAAGCTGTGCCTCAGGTTTTAAATATCATAATGCACATCAGCTTTATGCGACACAAGTTGACAAAGTTGCACAAGTTAATTAAAATGTGTTCAAAAATTATCTTTGACCTAAATGCTCTATTTACATTTTTACGTAGGAAGTTATGATACAATTTTACTTTTTTTATACCACAGGTCAGTTTTAACATGTCTAAAGGAAAGATTAATATAGATTATAGACGCACCTGGGTTTTCTGTTTCGCTTCCCTTTGAGTTTTGATGTAGTAAATGGAAATTTTTACCAATTTAGTTTTATTTGTTCAGTTTTACTTTTCTAAAGAATGTTAAAAATAAAAGTGATGGAAGTCACTTGGTAGAGACAGCAGTTGTCACAGTATTGATTTTATTAAACAGTTGTTAATATTAAACATCTGTTTAAACATTAAACAGTTTGTTATACACTAACATAATATTATGTGACTATCTTATATTAGCTCTACATTACTGTAAAACTGATGTATTTCACAGCAGTCAGGGTATTTGGGGAACATCTTCTTTCTTATGTTTCTTTAAGATTATGAAAGCTACATTATTTACACTGAGAATAAAAAAAGTGCTGTAGCCACAGGCTGCCCTTCCTGCTCCTCTTTGTACCCTGCTGACTTTGTTTTGGCTGGCAGAACAGTTCGAAACTTGAACTATTCCCCAGCTTATCTCCAGTAATTGAACAATGGGCCCCTATTGCAACCACGTTTGTTTTATTAATCCGTCTCAGTCTGCAGAAGTTGTTTCTGTTGCCTTCATTTTAGCGTTATTTGCATGTATGCGATCCTATAAGCCGTGACCGTTTTGATAATTGAAGTATAAATCTCATTAAATCTTCCATATTCATCTTTTTTTCCCCCAGCTCTTCAAGGATTGTCAAGCATGTGAAGATCTTGTCGTTCTGGACAATCCATGCACAAGCAGTGAGGAACTGGACCGGTTGGTAACCGTGAAGGACATGAAAACAGGGACATCCAAAGTAAAATAAGAAAAAAAGAAAGACCTGAAGTCTATGTGTGTGATATATCTCCTACCACAACTCAAACTGAACACACACCGTGCTGCCGTGAAACCCTCGGCACCGTTAAGACACGCTATTCCTCTTGTCATGTGGGTACATTACAGAAACAGGCCCATATTACCCTCACTGGTATCAGCTTCTTTTACATCGCCATGGACCGGAACAAACGCAACTCTATTGCTGGGTTCCCAACATGGCCGGAACGCCTCCAGGAGGACAGGGATGGGACCGGAGGCGTAGGAAACTGTGAGATGGGCCCGCCCTCACAGGTCAGTTCTTACACCTTCTGGTACTTAATGAATGTAGTGGGTGCTGTTGAGCCTGATTTGTGATATAAAGGCCAGTTTCCATTCACAAAAGTTAAATCTATAGTGTAGGGGAGTCAAAATCATTTTCATTTTGGGTCATATCAAGATTATGAATGTTCCCAAAGTGCTGGTTGTGTTGATAAAACTCATTAACAAGCTGTTAAAATAATAATAATATCTTAAAATTAAATAACACTGAACATATTTTCATATTGATGATTATGTCACACATTCTCTGCTAAATTAGAAAATATTTGCATGGAATTTTGCAGGATTTGAGCTTATGTATGACGATAAATATTAATTTATTTACTAGCCATGTTGATCATGGACTATAACTTGAGATCCAGTAAGGCTGAGGCAGCAGTGGAGTAGAGATACTACCACTGGTTGCCATGGTTACCCACCATTGTCTTGCTGTTTTAACATTAGCTAGCGTGTTGACGGCGTTCTACAACTATTTGCCACACCATGATAAAACAAATTATGCTACCAAGTTGACATTAGTGAATGGGAGACGCCTTAATGAGTCAAACATTTTTCATGTTGAGTTAATAAATGACGAGAAAACCATGGAAACGCATGAGAAAATAAACATGTAGCTGCGGCCATCAAGGCAGGTAGCAAACTAAGCCATCAGAAATCAAAAGTTCAGGAGGCTGAACGGGAGGTTTTAAAAATTAAACCTCTGACAGCGGCGCCGGGCGAAGAGAGGTGATCTGGCCCTGAGTTGTAAATAATTTTATTAGCCTAATTGAAAATAGTTTAGTTAATATTACAGGCGACATGCACGGTACAGTGGGTGCTGACACAGTGTGACGTCAATTGATAATCCCTCTATATTGAATAGAAAAAAAGAGAAATGCAATTATTGTGTATGAATTCTGTGAGGTTGTGTGTAACTGCACTTCGGAGGCTGAAATTGGATCAATATTTAATATATTCAATATTAAAGGTTCCCACCCTGAGCCTTCATGTGGCGTTTTACCCTCTACGCAACGACTCTTAATTACTTGGAGCAAGCATGAAATAAAAATTATTTGAAGCTCTCTTACTGTTTTATGTGATAACATACAGTTTCACAAAATGGATGCCAAGATATAAGTATATTTTTTTGTTTAGTCCTTTTAATGAGATTTTTGAAGTGGGCAGACTGCTTTTCTCCATGGAAAGGACTCAGTTTGCATAATCTTACTCAAGAGAGAGCGTTTTATTGCTCTTCTTGTAAAGGTTGGATGAAAACCTAAAAATGGAACCAGATTGGTTCTTTAATTTTGTAATAAAAGCAAATAATAGGGCTGTACTGTATTAGAAAGCCATTCAGTGGCTATATTATTGGTAAAATTTACAGCAGTGATATAAAATCCACATTTTCTTACGCCTCGTTTTTAAATATATCTTTTTTTTAACTGTGCTTCCAGCACTCTGAACTTCAGCCTCTTGTTCAGTCCTTTCTCCTCTCCTGGAAGTCTCCATTCAACAGGCCGAATTTCTTAAACCCACAACAATTTTCATGCGTTGGCAAACAATTGAATTTTACGTATTCAAAAGGGCAGGCACATGTGTTGGTTACAAGATTACATTATAATTTGTTATTGAATTAAGTAGATTCAAACATTGGATGCATGCATATGTGTAAAAATGCACTGCCTAACAGAGCATATAATGAGGTAAATACATGAACACATTCGCTTTAAGAAATCAGTCCAGCTGTCATTGCAATCCTAACTTGTAAAAAAGAAAAAGTGACATTTGTTGGCCCACACAATATTTCCTTTTCGATTGAATGCAATTAAGTAATTACTGACCCTGCAAGTAATTCACCACCATTTATGAGTCTTTATTTTTATCAAAGAGTCAAGTAGGTTTTTTGGTTCAAGATTTTCCTTTATTTAATTGGACCTAGGTCAAAAGAGACTCTTTGAATTGTAAAGGTTGTTATTGATGGAAAAGATCCCTTAGTGATTTGTGCTTTTGACAGCGAACATCCAAAATGAACAATTAGTGATTCCAGTTCATTGGTTAAACAATTTATGTATTTTTGCAGATTTTGATCTGCAAAAACACAAAAATGTGCTTTAGAATATAAATACTGCACCTCAGTGGGGGAACTGAAGTGTACCAGCAGTAAATGTAAAGATAAAATATGAAGAAAATGATAACAAGAGACTGTACAGTATCGGTTATATTGAAAACGCCCTTCTAACTTCCTCCATCTTTTGACATTTATTTTCAAGTTTTTGAGCTCATCATGAAGCAAGAGTCTGTAAATAACCAGGAAAGTTTGGAATTTGGAGCATGAATATTATGTCACTTTTTTCACCTGTTTGTTCTTGTTTCGTCCAGGTGGGCAGGGTGTGTCCGTCCTCCTACAGAGCCCTTATCAGTGCCTTCTCCTGCCTGACACGCCTTGATGACTTCACCTGCGAGTGGATTGGCTCTGGGTTTTTCTCTGATGTTTTCAAGGTGGGTGGAGAACGGAAATTACCTCCCTGTTTATCCTCTCTGAAGTTTGTTTTATGCTGAACCTTTAGATCCTTTGGATTTTCTTCTCATGTCCTCTCATTTTTGATTTCACACATCATCACCCAATTTGGAAAATTACAGAAGTGATAATAGGCTTTTCATGACTTTTCTTTGTCTCATTGGGTTAAGGTTAGAATATCATATGAGGAAAAAGTTGTGAGCAATTACTGTTTTTAAATTGATGCAGATGTTGAACTGAAGGTATTTTTTTAATTTGGTTTGACTCTGTCACCTTAGCGAGTTGAAAACTTTGTGTTATCTTCAGTATCTTTGACGTTTTGAGGTCAAGTTAAACATCACTTAAATCCCCCTTTCCCTCCGGGCGTGTCACTGGAGGTCACAAGCACTTTCACAACTAAAAATTTGACTTTGTTTTACAAACTGTCATCTATCACAGTACTTACCACTTGCTGAGTTATTGGAAGCCTGTCTGAGTGAAAATTTATAAGAACGATTTTGGTTTAGATAAACAAAGTGTAATGGCTGCTAGTCTTTAGAATAAAGCAGAGTTGCACAAAATTGCACGTAATTTTGATTTTGTTGCATCATTCTCTGATGTAAATAATTTTTTTTAAACATTTTCTCAACATTGTTTTTCACACATTTATTGCCCTCCACAATATTTGCTATCCTTGGAAAAGATGACATAAATATATAAAAATAAATTCTACTTTTGCTGCTGTAGCAAAATCTCACTCTGGAACATTTTTCAAAAATCCAACCTTTTGATTTGAGAGAAATTCTGAAATAATTGTTTTGAACAAAATCATCATTGGCATCTGGACACAGAGGCCCATTTCACTTGTTTTCTCTTCAAAATGCGAAAGACAGTAACACACGCCATTAAAGTAAGGCAACTGTGTTCAAAAGTCAGGTAAGGTCTCCTCTTGAACAACAGCTAGTTTACATGTTTATATTTAGAGCAGTTGTTTAAGACATGGGTGTCAATCATATCAAGATCACAAATGTCTTTCAGCAGAATACATTGATAAAATAATAAATTTACAAACTGGTAAAATATTGATAAATGTCTGCATTTGATGATCTCTTCTTAAAATTAAATAATATTGAACATCTTTTCACATTAATATAAAAACCACCAGCACACAACTGTTATCATGATTTATTTTTGTGTCCCACTAAAGTCTAGATGGCTACAAAAAACACTTATGGCGTGCCAGATTTGGCCCCCGGGCCTTGAGTTTGACACGTATTTTCAGGTCTACAATACAAACTACAATGATTGTAAACGGCATAATGGAGAAGCATTGTTGTGATGACGTGCTGATTGGGGGAGTGTTGGAAAGAGTAGGAGATTCTTAAAGAGACAGAGGCCCAATTTAAATTGCAAAATCAAATTTGTTTTAGTTGTGTTTGATATGTAAATAATTTTAAAAACAACTGAAGGTAACATACCTGCTTCATTGTGCTGTAAAATGGCACTATGTGCTTGGAAAGTACATAATACCCCCTTTAGTGTTGGATTCCCCCTTTCTGACTCTAATAAAAGTAAAACATGGGTTTAAAAAAACACCTCCAGATTTTTATTAAAACCAATTCTGAGAAATTTAATAGGACCAGATGTCATTGTGGCTGGGTTTTACTCTCATTCTTAGTGTGAGACATTTATGACCTAACATTTCGCCTTCCTCTCTTTGTCAGGTGAAACACCCTCATGATCCACTAAATATAGGTACCACCTCAGTCTAGTGGGAAATTCCTGTGACTAATGGTCTTATTACTGCAAAAAAAAAGAATCTGCATACTGACAAGAAAGCAAATGGGAATGAAGATGAACACATTGTGCTGTCGAAATGCTTGGACTCAAAGGAGGGAGATATGTATGGAAAAATGGGGCAAATAATGAGGATGAAGGCTTGAGCTAAAAGAGAAGCGGAAACAAAAGAGAAAAACCTCTGATGTTAGTGAACTGAGGTGAGGGAGACGAAAAAGGGGGGTTTAGATGAGGTTTTAGGTGTCCGGCAAGTACAAAGGAAGGCATAGATGGAGATGAAGAGGAGTTTGTGTGGAAGAGGTCGGTCGGATCTTGGATTCAGCAGGGTGGAAAAAATTAGAGGAGAGGGTTTGGAGGGGATGGACAAAGGGGTTAAGTTTTCCACTTGAAAGGAGAGCCGACAGAGGTGGGGGGAGACTTCAGAGGAAGATGGGAAAGAAAGATATTACTACTCCTGCTACTACTACTGCAGGGAATGATTAGGATTGGGCATCATGGTTTGTTTGAAGCCACAGAGCGGAGAAGAAGAGGAGAATCAGGAACACATGGAAACAGGGAGGAGGGGGATGTGAAGAGCGAGAAACGGGGGGTCGGAGGAGGATAGACAGATATGGGGGAGAAGGCCTTCAGGGCCATCTGTTGTTTCTGCTGCCCTGTGGTGGAGACTGTCGCCTCTTATAGCCAAGCCCCCTCCTTTGAACTTGAACAGAGAGATTTTTGTCTGTGGATGAGACCCAGAAAGAAGGAGAGAGAGAGAGAGAGCGGGGGGGAGCGGGTACAGGAATCTCTGATTATATGAATCCATGATCCTATTACGATGGCGTACTAGTAAATCTCCACCAAAAAATCTTTCTTTGAAAAAAAGGTGGGAATTTCTGTATTTGAACAGTTGAAAATTTGGTAGAAAAATATAGAAACATTTTGGAATTAATCTTGAAAATTTTTGTTTCAAAAGTTTAACATTTTCAACTTTCAAAACTTTCAGAAATTTCTAAAAGTCAGAAATTTGCTAGAAATACTCAGAAATGTTGATATTAATCTAATTTTCTAAATTAAAATATTGAAATTTCTGAATTTCAAAAGTAAATTTTTTAGCCCTTTAAAAATTTATTAAATTTATTATTAAAAACTCTAATAATATTAATATCAAATTTCTTTGTCTTTTTTCTTTTAATCTCAAATTTTGAATTTTTTTCTAGCAGTTTTTTGACCTTCCGGTCTCAGAGATGCCTTTGTTCTTTCTACCAAATTTTGTGAGGTGGATCTCATACTCATAAATTTTTTTTTTCTAGCAAATGTTTGACTCTTCAGACCCAGAAATGTTCTTGTTTGTTTTTTCTTTACTTCTCCTTTTTCTGTCTATCGTCAGTAGCCCTAATGCGCTGTCATATCCTGTAACTAATGGTAGTAAACCTTTGCCGTTCTTTCAAACTGCACGTTTATATTTTTCCTAACTTCTGTCATTGAAACAAATGCAGTTCATTTTACCTTTGTGTAGCTGTCAGTTCTGCTTTCTGTTGTAAATGATGCCACCTATTCATTGTGTTACTGTACCTGTGTTTGAGGAAGACATTAAAATAGATAGAATATGTCATTATTCTGACTTGTAGGCCAATTAATTTTGTACAAACAAATACACATGTCATAGATATGTAACTGTTTGCATTTATTTTTGATATTGTTAAATAATTTCCTGCTCTTAAACCTTCTGTCTGAAGTAGATAGAGGTGTTGGCGCAGTCGTGTCAGATTAGTTTCATCTCGATCTATAAATGTTTCTGCTTCCAGGAAATGAGTTAGCAAATGTAGGTAGATGAGTGTGTCTGTCCACAGAAGCACAGTCACGTTGTGAGCGCCTCTCAGTGGTTTTGTAGGTTGATATTTCCTATTTGCCTACATGCATCATCAGTTAATTTAAATGTACAGCATTTTTTGTGGTGGTATGATCTATTTTTACCTCACTGTTTCAAAGATTGTGAAGAAATGGGCTTTTTTGACATTTTTTGACTAGTTCAAAGGACATCCTTCTTGTTCATGCCGTTTTGTAACATTTGAAATGTGGTTAATGTAACATTTCCGAGTAGTGGCTGTGCATTTAAGAGCAAACCTTAAAGGCTTTAAAATTGGCATGGTGCTGCAATCAACATCTTTCTGCGGTGACCTCCACCCAAGTCCAGTCAGCCATAGATAAATGAATGCTGATGCTACCGCAATCTAAAAACTGAGATGCTCCCAGTGCACAACAACACTAAATTGATTGTAGGGCTCTGAAAATGACACATGCACTCTGTTATCATGGATGGTCAGCAGTGGCTAACCTCATTTCGTTTGTTTGTGTCGCCTTCTTTATCTGCTTCCTCTAGCATCTCGCTGCATGTGCTAAATATGTGCTTAGCAAGTTTTACTCACAGAAGAGTTTTTAACATGCTGCCAAGGTCTTTTCTGCAACCATCATTAGTTTAAACTAAAACATAAGAGCAGTGAACTGTGACAGCAGCACAGCATTGGAATATTTTACCATCAGAAAAAGAAGATTTCTGAATTTAAAGACTTTAGGACACATGTATAGCATTAGCGGAAAAGTTAGCTGGCATTTGAGCATTAGCTTTCCTGTCTGGAAATCACACTTAAAAACTAGCATAGCCAAGGTTGTATGTTAACTAAGGCTTAAAAAAAACTAATTTGAAGCAGTTTTTACTGTAATCGAGTTTATTTGTAGAGCACATTTCAGCAACAAGGCAGTTCAAATTGTTTTACATGATAAAAACATAACACAATAAACAAAAAGTTATACGGATTGTATGTGTTCCTGTAAAATAAATAAATGTTAAATCGACTGAATTTATATAGCAGCCACTCGTATTGACCACATAACCATATTCACGCAGTTTCAGTAACAAACGCACACCGATGTGCAAATCGCTATGCAAGTCGGGTTTAAAGCTGGAGGGTCTTAGCGCTGTCAATCATCCTCACGTACGTGCTGCTACCACCCTCTCCCTTGCTCTCTGTTAAGCTGCAGCTAGTTCCCCTCAGTGGAGCCTGTTGTGAACGCTAAAGCTAGCTGGTGTTGCGCTGGTGTTGGATAAACATTTTTCCTTTAACGCTAATATACGCTTGCTTCATATTGAATACATGCTGTTTGACTTCTCAATTGAATGCAAGGTTCCCAGTCGTGTCGGAGCCAAACATATCATTACTCCTCCGTCACCATGCTTGACAGTTGGTTTCAAAAGTTTGTTCTGTATATGCTTTTCTCTAAATATGGTGATGCACATTATGGCCAAGCACCTCCATTTGTTCCCTTCTCTCTTTAGAACATTGTTCCAAATGTTTTAGCTATTTATTTGGGTTCTTCATATTTGTTCTGACTTTTTCTCATTATACCATTATGAAGTTTGACATTTAACAGGCACATAGAGACTGGGAACTCTTTGTTTTTATGGGATGTTTTTAGCACTGCATGCTGCAGTCTTTGTGAGAAATTGCTGGGGAGATCGCCAGTTGTCCTTAATGTTTTATGCTTGTGAATAATGTTTCACACCATGGACTTTAGATTGCTTATAGATGACCTTTTAACTCTTCCCAGATTGAAGGCTTGCAACAATTGGTTCTCTGAGTTGAGTTTGGCATTGTGTTAAACTGATTTTTGCTGTTTAGTTAAATAATTCTGTTATATCTGTTTTGTTCTACTGAGAGCAGATTTTAGCACCTAAAAATCTGTCTTTTGGTGCATAAAACCCTTTTTACCATTACTGTGGCTAAAATTTATGCAATATAATAATCTGTTTTGACATGTTTGCCTGTCTTTGAGCATTAAATGAAGCCGTTCTGTCTTTCAGGTACGTCATCGCGCTTCAGACCAGGTCATGGCTCTGAAGATGAACAAACTCAGCAGCAACAGGGCGAACATGCTGAGAGAAGTCCAGCTCATGAATCGACTCTGCCATCCAAACATACTGAGGTAATCAACAATCTGACTACAGAGGCTACTGATCCCTATTAATGCTGCTTTTAACCAAAGCTAAGAAAATAATGTGATTATTTTCCACTTCGTTGAACTTGTTAATTCATTATGTCGCAACAGCAGCTGACTTTTAAAGTGTAATTTAACCACAATGTAAAAACTTGAATGTTTTTTGGAATTTAACAAACCGTGTTCTTGGTTATAATTTCGCTCCATATAAATAATGACTCAAAACATTTCCACCAGCCTGTTTTGTCACCACTGTAGTCTCTCTGTAGCTCATGACCCCCTGTGGGGATGAACAGTTTTCCATTGGGAGAACTAGAAAACGTACCAAACGCGGAGACAATTTGTTTTAGAGTTGCACCAGAAGCCTGGAGACAAAAAGCAGGAATTACATTTTTATGTCATTACAGACGAGGAAAAGCCTTTAAACAATTATGTCAGCATTTTATTGAATCTAAGAATTGATTGCTTGAGGAAATTGACAAGTGTTTTTACGTAATATGGCTTCCATGTTATTGAATTTCAGATCAAAACCTCAAAGGGAAAATAATGCTGCTGAGCCAAAAAGCTTGTGGGGTTGTGTGTTCCTAACACAGTTCTGATGTGTTTGGAGATGTAGTTCTGTTGGAAAACCCAAACTTTCAAACATTTGACCTAAACTGACTCCTTCAAACAAAAGAAAAATTCATTAGGATTAGGCCTGTCACAATAACAAATGTTCCTGGAAAATAAATTGCCCTGGAAATTATTGCGATAAACGATAATATTGCCATTTTGAAACAATTTTCAGCTACTATAATGATAATTATGTAATAATGCCAGTTTGTCCCCCTCAAAGACTAATAATTTTATATTTTGTTCACAAAACTTCACACTGGAACTGGAGGACATTTAAATATCAAAAATTAAAAAACATAAGTCGGAAACAATAAATAAAAAGGAACTAAAAGAAACACAAAACCGAAACTTCAAATGAAATCGATTATTACTTCTTTGTAAACAAAATTGCCATTAATAAAATATTAATAATCAAAATCGAAATTATTAAGCTCATCCTAATTTTTCATGCTTAACTGATTATTGCGACAGGATTAATTAGAATATTAAGGATCTGTCCAGGAGCCACTAATGTTTAATAATGTCCACAGAGGACAGAGGCTAGTTTTACATCTATGCTATTTTTAAGAAGACAAAGATTGAACACGGTAGTGACAACATCATGCTGTGGGGCATAATGGAGGATTACCTAACCTCCGCCAAAATAGACAACTAGATGATTGGAAATGGACACAAATTGGTGTTCCAATAATCACAAACGCAAATCAAAAGGATTTTTATGTTTAAAGCAGAAAAAAAAAAAACTTCTGGAATATCATTAATCCCATTTAAATCGAACACTTATGCTTTAAGTTCTTAAATTTGGTTGGTTTTTGAAAGGAAACCAAACATTTCTACTGAGAAGAGCTGATTGTTTTGATGTATAACTGGAAGTCTACAGTAAATATTCGTGATTTAAAAAAAATCTTTTTACCATCGTAAGGATATCAAAGTTAAATTCATTTTTAATTTATATTTAATTTGCTTGTGGTATTATAATATCCACTGATCATGCATGTACGTAAACATCTGGCCAGAACTTTGTAGAAAACAACAGAATCTTGAGTCTGAACCCAGAAGTTACTCCTAATTAAGATGCTGTAAACATCCTGCCAAGCTTTTTTTCTTGGCACCTGTTTAAATATTTTAATTTTATAATCTACAATTATAGTGAATGTTGAATTAAACAATAGAAAAACAAAAATGATCGAAATATAGTTTTTTTTTCTTGCTCTAAGCCTCTGGGTGGGAGAGTGTGTGGACGAAGCATGCACATACATGCATAAATATTCTTCTGTGTGCATTCCCTCACATGCACACATCTTGTACAAAGTGATCTTTGTTGAGCGTGCCTTGTATGTTTGTCTCTCTGTGTGAACAAACACACTGTGGAGTCATTGTTTGCTAAAAAATCCAGCAAAGACCCAGAAATGTGACCTTTTCTTTGCCTCGAGTGTTATGAAGCCCTCAAAGCAGCTCATGAACAAAGTTTGTCCATTTGTTGCACATTGTGTCTCTGGTGAGTTGAAGAACATGACCTTTGTTTTTGATTGTTCAGCCCTAACTTCAGGTTAAATAAATAGTTCTGAAGTGGCTGGTTAGATTTATTAGGTCTGGAAATTGATGGGCAAGGCAAAGGTAGAAATGGGAAGAATGTAGGTGAGGCAGATGGGCTGTTATTATCCCACTTTTAGCAGACAGTCCTACAGCAGTCACCTGTTCAGTCTTGCCTGGTTTCTCAGTTTACATATTCCAGAAAAACCTAGATTATTCTAAGCTTTTTCAAAATCTTTGTCGTTTTTTTCCAGGTTTAAGGGAGTGTGCGTCCACGAGGGCCAGCTTCACGCTTTGACAGAGGTAAGAGGAAGTAAACACAAACTGTTTCACATTACAGGGGACATATTATGCAAAATTCACATGTTGCATAAATGCTTCCATTTGGGTTTCTACAGCTTCTAGAAACATCCCAGCTGTAAAAAATTATTTTAAGAAATCCAGCTGTTTGTTTTTTTTGACAATAAATTTATATTTCTTGGTGTCTGGAAAATGAACCATTTCAAAAACCTCCAGCAGGCACTGACCTTTCACCTAGTAACCCCAGAAACTCAGTCCATTACCTAGCAACCTAAGCAGAACTCCAGGATTTTTTTCAACTTGTTTTACTGCTGCTGGAAAAGACATGTTTTGCTGTTGACTGGGCATCCAGAAACCACTTTCTCCATTCTTGTTGGTTGTGCAGGAGGCCCCACTTCTGCTAGTCAAATATGTATGGCTGTAAAATTACACATCTGTTCGCAGCCATATTTATGTGTGCTTTATCTCATTCGGGTTTAAAGTGACAACTAAAACGACTCAAAATAGGCAGAACTGAACACACTAAAATCTCATTATATAAGAATGATGTTTTGTATCACCCATAGACTTATCCTAGTTTGTTCAAGGAAGCATAAAAGGTCACCTTTAAAGCTCCAGAACAAAGTAATGATACCTCTGATCAAAATGTCCCAGCTAATGAAAGGCAAACTACTTCTGCAGTCATGTTCCATCTCTTGTTGTGGAGTTCATGTCCCAGCTATTATTAGGTGAACATCGTGTCACCCAAGAGCACAAAAGCCTGTAATTGTGGAAAACCAAAAGAACCAAATGCCCTCCAGTTTACCTAACGTTTCAGTTGTTTCTGTCTGAGAAAGGTTCTTAGAAAGTTTTAAAGCTTTCAGCTGCAAAATTTAATAAAAGCATTGCTTTATCAATCAAGAAATGGATAAATGCATGTACATGCATTATTCCCATTCATAAAATTTGAATTTATTTACAGTAAATGTAAACATTTAGCCTCATAATGTAAAGGCAATTGGTACAAAATTTGCATGTTTGTTTTTATCTGAAACACATGAAGGTGTGAAAAATTTAAATTTGTAATTTTCAGAATAAATGATCCGTCCCGTTGTACTGAACTTATGTTCCTTTTTACTTACATTGTTAGTTTAAATGCTTCAACATTTTTTGCCAAATGAAATTAGACAAAATAATTTTTTATATATATATATATATATATTTACATGATCAATAAAAGAATTAAATTATAAAACTGAAAGCAGACCCTGCTTTTAGATTCTCTTGCATGGCTTGAGAACTCCTTTTGGCTTTCTTCTTGCCACTTTTACATAAAAATGTGTGATGTAAACGACTAAATGTTGATGTCAGGATATTTCCCCACCTGAGCTATAACTTACTGCAGCTCCTCCAGAGTTACCATGTTGGCTGCTTCTCAGTTTGAAGATGTTTTTAGAGAATTCAGACCTGAGGAGTGTCTATATGATTTTTATGTTCTTGCTTGAGGTGTTTACCACATTTCCTGTCTTCAAGCAGTGGATTTCACAGTCTGTCCTTATTTAACGATTAGTAGCAGATGAAGAATCTATAGAGGAAGTGCTTTCCTAATACAAATTTAACTTGAAGGTTGGGCTGTTGTGGGTGTTACTTTTTATATGTTTTTACAAGTCTTTTAAACTTCTGTTGATATACAACCATGAATATTCTTATAAAAATGGACACGCTTTCAAACTTCTTTGCTACTTTTCCTGTTGGGCCTTCCTTGGTCTTCTGTCTTATAAAAACAAGGAAATGTACGACTGACTGAAACAACAGACACTAATGTGGTGAGACTCCGGTATAAACCAGGTGTGATGCTCTCTTTTGCCTTCATTTGTGACCTGAACCGACTTTACGACGTCATTCCTGACCTGTCTGGCATGTTTCTCAGTCTTCGTAATTTCATTTGTTTATTAAATTTATTTAAGAGAAGCTGAAATTCAGCAGAGATTAAAGAATTAAGATTCGCTGAATTTTATCTAGGGATATAAAAGTGAAGAGTAAAAAAATGCATGCTGCATTTTAATGTTTTTTTAATATAAAACAACACATTTAATTAGAATATTATTGAAAAGTCTATTTATTTTAAGAACTTTGTCTCCAAGTAAAGCACAAAATATAGATTAATTACACACAGATGTACGTTTATAGCTTTTATTTCTGATTTTTCCACGTATAGATAATGAAAACATGACGTAAAATGGAATAGTACATTAAGCTAAGAAGAAAATAAAACAGAAATGTAAGCTTAACAAAAAGTATGTTAATGCCTGCTTAAAGTTTGTTGTAAGAGGGGCAGAAAATCATAATGCCTTTTAATCTTTTATCGCTCTCTTTTGAACAATTTGTGTAAAGTTGCATGTCAGTTGTTATGACTATTTGGATTATTATTATTTTTCTGTTTTTACTTTGTTTTTAAATAAACACATTTTCGAAATATACTTTTAATCCGACAAATGAGACTCATAATGCATATTCACATTTTTGGATTACGTCTGTATATGCTGCTATATGTTTGGTCAGATAAAACTCCAACAAAACACATTAAAACTTGTGTTGTAATGTGACAGAATGTGTAAGACACGGTATGTTGGATGTAACAGTAAATAGCTGTAAGCTAATATTACATCACACTGTCTCTCAGATGAAGGCGTCGTTTATAGAAGGTGCTCCCAGACTCACACATATGTTCTCTATTACTTCTGAACTGCAGTTTGAAAGTGTTTATTGTAGCCGTGGGAGAGGAAGACACCAGCTTTCTGCAGCTGTGTACCATAACACCAAGTCTTAGAGTTTGCACACATGCAAACACACAGACACACGGTAGTTGTGATGTAAATAAGCCCATTGTGAGGCACACGTCTGATTATGCCTGCTCAGACACCGTGGTAGGTCCTGTTTTCCTTCTGCAGGGTAAACAGATCCTGTCGTCTCATGTCGGTCACAGGCTCCTGGCGGTTTTTTTTTGTTTGTTTTTTGTTACCTGGCCCCTCTGTGACTCTCCATGCAGAGGAAAATTGGAATAAAGTTACAGGATTGCCCCAAGGTTACCTTGAGAAACTCATTAACTTTGATACAAGCGGATGAAAACCACATCCTGGAAAAAAACTTGGAATAGTGAGGAAGCTTCAAGCAGTGAAGGTAAACCTTTAACCTAATACCAGCCAAAGTCTATGTTGCAATAAAGACTGAATGACTTTTAATGCTACATCCTCTCTTAAAAGTCTTATGTTTCACAATTTCCACCAGCTGGCTCCAGAATTGCTTCAGAATGCAAATATTTAGCATCACAAGATGATTTGACATTTAGACATGATTATCTGCAAGGGGCAAACTGACCTGATGGACGATGACTTGCTCTGATTATGCTGACTTTCAGTTAAATGCATCCGGCTCCTGCAGTCATATTCAGGGCTAATGGTGAGTCATGACCTCTGATGGGATTATGGCGATTTAAGCTGATCTGAAAGCAAACAAGGATTCTTTGTTTGAGTCTTTCCAGGGTTTACAGCCCGAATCCCAGACAGCCCATCACAGTAACTTCCACAACATTTTTGACCTGACATATGTTTTGTATTGCCTCATTCTCTTCTTTGTACATCATGATGGAGAGGTTCCTATAGGGCTCAAACCCAAACCGAGCTGACTGCGTTGTATCAGCAACTCTAAAGCAGATTTTAGGAAAAAATATACAACTTTATTTCCAATTTTATTTGAGCTGGTTGAGATTGTACTGCTGGTATTCTTCTAATTTGTGTTGTTTAGGTGGTCATAAAGGAAAAATAAGTTGGAAAGGTTTCAATTTAAGTCCCCCTTTATCAATTAATGTTGATCTCTGTTCAGTTTTCAGGACAAATACGATTATCACTTGTAGGTCCAATCAGTTTGCACTGTTATTTACTGTGCAAACTGTTTTATAAGACAAAAGGAAAATTTGGTTGGAAACTGATCATTTACCCAATTCTCTCACCGTCTGACATGGAAAAATGACGTGTTTCTGTTTTTAGACCAGATCAACAAAATTTTTACCGTTTCTGAAGTTGTTTTTATACCCGATAGTCCAGTAGACTTGGTTTGATTGAGGGCCAAAATAGCAACATTTGTTACATTTTCAGCTGCTGCGGTTCGCTTTCACACTGCACTGTCAAACCAACCAAACTCTTTGAAAACATGCTCAAGTCCTCACCTGTGGCGGCGCTGCATCAAGACCACTGAAGGAAATGACACAAAAACCTCTGAAGAAGACTTGAGCTCACAAAATATAAACAAAATAGAGTGGCGTCAGATTTTAGCGGTTGGAGGATTCCTTTTTTTTTTTTAATCTTTGGTTAAAAAACCCCAAAACGACACAAGTCATTTCTCCCGTTGGCGCTAGATTGTCACGTTTGTTTTGGTTCTGTATATCTCCGAGGCAGACGATTTGTCTCAAGGAAGTTTAGTAATTGAGATCTTTGACTCTTTCGATAAACCATTCCAGCTCTAGTTTTCACTCTGCTTGGCGTTCACATATCCATTCAAACTGCGCCAGAGCTCACATTAACCGAGCTGAGACTGAGATAAATGGTTTCATGAGAAACAAATACGTTGACATGTTCAGGCAGCATCTCAGTCTGCCAGCAAAGTTGTTGAGTTTGGGCACAAATGGGTCTTCTTAACAGACAATGACCCTAAGATTACTGCTAACTTAGTCAAAACGTGCCTTAAGGGGAACGAAGTCAATGTTTGGATCACAAAGGCCTGTTACTAGCCTCATAGAAAATCTGTGTGGTTTGACCCAAGTCGTTTGGGTAAGCTTCTGAATTTGAAGAAAGCAATAAACAATTCTGACCTCCTGAAATAAAAGAGGGAACATTTAGTCGAATTTAATGTTCAGCAGTGAGAAAAAATGACCCAGAGTGTATAAATATCTGGTCTAAACTGTGAATCTAGATTCAGCTGAAAGAATTTAGTAGAAAAATACAATTGAATGTCTTCTAAAGAATCAG